GGATTATCAGAAGATAGGGCAAGCCCTTGACCATTGATAGATTACGACGACAAGATACTGTGTCGATCATCTGAAGGCAAATTACATTGAGAATGAAGCAACCTTCTCTCCATTGATAACACCAACACAATCTTTGCTTCTGCAACGAAAAATGGACTATGGCTTAAAGAGATTAAGACTCCCAGTAGTAGTAACAAAGTACTGTCTACATGTATTAGTTGACATGCTCAATCGGTCAAATGGTTAACAGACTTCATCACTTAGTCCTCTACGAATCTCATGCCTGAGCCAGTTTCATTTTACCTACATGTTTGGTTAATTTTCATCAACACAGTCCTATTAATATTTCTGTTTGTGTTCACTGTACCGAAGAATTATTTGAAAAAGTCACAGTTTAAACTTTATTTTTTCCTAGCACTGTGTTTTTCTCATTACAAATCAATCAAAACACGAATTATTGGATACATGTGACAACAGTTATATAGTTCTTCTGTTTCTTGTGCCGATTCCTTCGTAGAAGATTTCTGAAGTAATAGGGAGTTAAATTAAACCAAGTTCACTTTGAAAGGAGTGAAGTGGGCACATTATTTAGATAAAGGAATGCTTTGACAGTGCTGTTGAAAGCTTCCACAAATGTAGTTATGTTTTCCCTTCTGTATTGATTTTTTTAAGACCGTTGCAGTCATCATCGTCGTATTCATAAACAAGAGAATACCATTTGGTAGAATTTCGTGAAAAATCACTCTTAGTGAATATTCATGGATTATTGTCCTACGTATTTTCATGCTCTCAATACAGTTGTTCTGAAACATTTATTTGAACAGCAATCCAAAGACTGGTGTGGCTACAATACGTACATTGCCCTTTTCTGCTACCACTTAACGTTTTACTTTAATAGCGGCTTCAACAAACAGGTAAACACTTCAATCTTCTCAATCAAATGTAGAACCAATTGATTTCCAAACTCTTTAAGTGATACCCTTAAACTGACTTTTTGACAAATTGTGTTGATGAATTTGATTGAAGATGAAATGAAAACCTGGGCTACTATACACAAATCTCCCTAGATGACTATACTTAAGTAAATAAATCATCTTCACCCCCCAGTTCAAGCTTTCAGGCAGTTACCCAACACATATTACTTACGTTGACTAATCCAAACATAAGTAAGCAGGCCAGGCCCTCGAGTGGAACCCAGATGGGAAACGGCGAGTTGGGCGTCCGAGAGTGACATGGAGATCGTGTGGGGAAGAAATGAGAGCTTGTGGGCAGTCGCGGATCCAGGTTCAAAAGATTGTTGAGAAGAGAGTGCACTGTAGACGTGCTACTGAAGCCCTATGTTCCACTAGGAAACCAAGGGACAAATAATAATTATCATAATATAGCCTGTCAATATACATCAGCTATCTTTGAAAATCAGTATTACTTTTTTCACTATCCAGATGACTGGAGTCATTACAAGTGGTGAGAGACAAAGGTAAACCAAACCTGAATATGAGATACGCTAAATGCTTGTCTGTTGGACTTTAGTCGAAAATGAAACATACAACTTGAAATGAACTGAATCTCTCGGATAATCAGATCAAAGATATCCTTTATGGTAAGTTCTTAGAGATGCAAACTGAGTGGATTGTTTTTACGAATCATGAAACTTAAAATGTTTTTTGTATCATTTTCTTAACATATGTGAAACTACAGTCTATCTACGTGTACCACTCAATTTCTTGCTGAGAAAATTTTGTACTTCTCGATTGTGTGGGAGTGTAGAGGGCGGCCTGCTTGTACTTTGGGCTACTTCACTTTATCACGGAATATAGCGTATCAAATTTCATTATGTTACCTTATCGTATCATATACTCTCACACAACATTAGAATAGTTACTACCTAATTCTCTACAACTTGATATCCAAATTAACGAAAACCACCATGGTGTATGGCAACAGGCTCCAAACATATGACTGTTCCGGTAATTATAGAACCCACTTATCAATTTTGTGACAATCAATAATCTACGACCATTGGTTTAACTAACAATGTAAAATTTCCCCCTTTTTATTATTCTTTTCATAAATTGTTCGATTAAAGCTACTGTGTTGCAGAGACTAAATTTGTAGTGAATTAGAAGGAATACCACTGTTTTCAAGCAACCCTGTTTTTGAATATCTTCTATTGTGGTCCTTGACTTCCAGATCCAATTTCTGATGTTATGGTCAACTTGTTGCCTTTCTTTTCAGTTTGGTGGTTATGAATAATAGTAACCTAATATTTAATATTAATTGTTTCTGGACTCAAAACAGATATGCTTTTATTTTACAACAGTATAGTGGATCTGTAAGATGGTAATCAGATGTATTTATCTAACTGATAAAATGTGGCAGATGTTTCGGCATTTCGGTTCATAATTCTACTGCGTATAAGGCGGACTTTTATTATCAAACCAGTATGAACAGACGGCCAAAGTATCGTCGTGTCCACAATAAATCAATACACATACTAAGGAATTATGACCTTGTCCACTGACTTATTTCCTTTGTCTAATGCTCAAAAAATAACTTTGAAATTACTCTCACCATGTTGTTACCATTTTCCATTCGAAACACGTATCTGTCGAACCATGGCAATCTCATTGATTATTTAATAATCTGGTCCTACGGGAGGTCAATAGCAAACTGAATAGCTCAGTGGTATCGTCCCCGACTACATTACTGGGAGGTGCGCTTTCAAATATCAGGCGAGACATTAGTTCCATCGAAATATCAGACATGCCTTTCTGAAGAGTGTCAGAAAGAATGAAACCAAAGTTAATCACCGTCTCCTGCCTCTGTCCGACTGGAATCTACTAATTCATTTAATCGGAATTCTGTCAAACATAATATTCATATCAGATTTTCAGGTGATAAACTGATTCACTGATACCATGAATAGTGAAAAGGCTAATTATAACGCCTAACTGTAATAAAAAAATACACACAGATCACCATCTGAAATCCAAACTAATATAATGGGATTATTCAGCAATATAATTTTCGTTAGACCTAGAATACGCAGATGACATAGTCCTGTTACATGAGGATGCAGACAAGATTCAGAGTCTTCTGAACACTTTGAGTGGCAATTCCAGAATGTTTCGGATGCGTTTCTCACCACCCAAATGTAAATTGTTGCTCCACGAATCGTCAACAACGGTGCCCCACCACGGCTAACAATAGAGAGTGTAGTGGTTGAGTGTGTCAACCACTTCACTTATCTGGGAAGTAGGATCAACTCTGCTGCATTGGTCAGTGGCCGATGAAATTTCTGCACACATGCAAAAGGCTCGGTTGGCTTTTGTCAACCCCCCACACCATCTGTAGCACCACCGTCATATCCGATTGCCAATCAACGGTCGCGATTACTTTACTGCACACACACACACACACATGCACACCAGTCAGCTCTCTTCTACTCTATCACTGTAGAACATGGACATTCACGCTGGAAGACATGAGAAGGCTTCAAGTGTTCCACCATCCTCGCCTTCATAGTATACGCCGTATTCCATGGTGTCACCACCACCACCACCACCACGTGAGTAACGCACAAGTCAGCCTCAGGTGTAGACTTTTAGACAGAAGAGGTAAGTCAGTTGACACACCTGTCAGTGAACCTTCATCGACTGAGATGACTGGCTCAGACATGTGTTTCGTATGACTAGTCAACGTCTGCCTCGTCACACAATGTTGGTCGAAGTACGTTCACACTGGAAAAAGACTCCGGTGGTGGGGTGACACACTAAAACATGGCATCAATATATGAAGTCTCTGACTGTTCGTCTGAGCCATGTGGATGTAGACGATGTAGACGACTAGCCAGTTGGAGTCGGTGGGACAAGAGGAACAAGTGAGTGGTTGGCGACTGACTACTCTAGGTGATGGATGGCATGACTGAGAACCGATGTCATTGGTGCACATGTATACACATATTATCCTCATCTTAACGACGTTATACCGAATCTCACTATCTTCTCATTCTTCCTTTCTCTCCTTTGGTGCTTGGACCGTTACTCAGTAATGTCTGGTCCTATTTTGATATTGACGATGATTCGGCAATATTTATTTAGCTTGGTAAGAAATAAATTTGAGAGGCGGTGATTATCCTATTCTGAATATATTCTATTTGGCTTTGATGAAGAAATGTTGAGCGAATTTCTATTTAAATCTTAAACATATTGACAAGGATTCTCTTATATGGCTTTCAAGGTTTTCTAACCAGAAGCATTTTTTGAGGAAGTGATTTTTACGAGGTCACCAAACATCAGAAATTTATTGTTCTACCTTATTAAATTTTTAAAAAGATATTCTATTTACATTAAAATGTCTGTAGAGATACTACCATATTCGGCATTGACGCAACTTTTTTAGATGCTTTGAATGAGTGTCGCATACATCCTGACACTAGTCGGTAGGATACATTTGTAACTACAAAGTAGCGTTCACTCACTTAAAGACTGGAAACTGTATCATACTGAACTACAATCTGTGACACTACCTCCTGCAGTACTTATCGGTTACTTCAAAACGACATCTATATTACGTCTAGTCGTGGCGACACACATAGGTACCTAAACCTCAACTTTCCCAATATTAAATGTAAATATTTTCACACTTGATTTTCACTTCTCAGTTAATAAATGTGATTGTCTTTTGACTGTTAATATAAGTATCAGAGTAAAACTGTTAACTTCATTCAACGTAACTGTTTGGTAATCATTTTCCAAACAATACCGAATTGATTTTTTCCTACTAAAAATTGATATAAATAATATTTGAAAACCCAAAACAACCTGAGAGAATGTATAGAAATTGTTTTGTACTTTGTTATGAGATCTTTCTAGTTCGCTATGAAAGCTTTCATTAGCATTCTAAGCAACACTATCCACTTTGATTTCAGTAATCGTATAGTTGTACAACAGTCTTTCACACACTAGGTGTAATTTAAAGCCCAGTTTACACAAATCTCTACAACATATAACAACTTTAATATACTTACATTCTAAGGTTATGAAAACCAGTATTTAATTAGTATGCATTCTCATTTGTCTGATATCTACAGTAGGTGATACACAACAGTCAATATATGATTACATTTATGTGGAAGTAAAAATGAATGTAGTCAATATCAACTTGAGGTTTAGCATTTCTGCACAACAGTATAAAGTTTCCAGCCATACTTTACATCACGACACAAAGTAGAAAGACAGAAAACAAAGACAAAAGAAGAAAAAATTATCCGAAGTTTTAAAAAGAAATAAGAACGGGTGAAACAATAACGAGTTAACACTTGATGATTAGGGTAATATAATGATTCGACCCGCCTGCGCTATCGAGATCAATTCTAAGCCATATCACCTAGGATTTCATACATTTGATTTCAGTTGTCATATGGACTCTAACCAGACCAACAGTCAGAGATTCCATACTTTAATAAGACGTGAATACCTACCAACTTGTAGCCTGAATCCAGTTAACATGACCTGAAGGAGCAGACGGTGAATACCCACAGGTAACATATGCCCTAATCACCTCAGTTGATGATAACTTACAAGATTATCAACTAACTTAACTCTCGCCCAAAACTCTACACTTGATATCTACATTACTGACGTAGCGGTACCACGGAACACAAGTTATTATTTTTAAAAATACCAGTGATGGAACGCGTGAGGTCCTCTCCTTTCCCCCATCTTTAATCACCATGTCTCACAGTCTTAAAGAAGCAGAACAAAGCAAAATGCTGCTAAATACAGAAATATCATTGATTGTAAAATTGGCAGCAAACCTTTTACATGCATGCAGAGAATCCATCAATAACTGATCAACCAGGGTTCATCCAACTTTCTAAGTGAGTGAAACAGTCAAAGCGCTCAACAACATTCCGTATTGTTAGACGTGATATCAGAACAAAACAGTCCTAATGCAACAATTCGTACCATGGTGGTGAGAAGTGTATCTCTAATTTTCACTCAAGGTGTCCGGGAGGCTTTGCATCTTCATCTAATAGAATTATGCCAACTGCGTACTGTAGGAGACAGTTCCATAAGCACATGGTCCATAAAGTTGAATAAACATGCGAAGAGTAGAAATTGTTGATGAACCCTACTCGATATAAACACCTCACTTGATGCCTTACAACAGACTCCAAAGCGACCAAATGTTTGAATACTGATATCATTTCAATGAACGCAATCAATATGAACAACAAATTGTCTAAAAACGTTATCCAGTGAATAATAATACTGTTTCATTGTGTGACATTTCTAGTAAAGACTAAACTGGAGCATTGAATAATATAGGCACCTCTCAGACTGACAAAAAGTCTGCACAATGACTGTGAACAGTGGGAGATAGCGAAGGTTAAAGAAATGGAGAAGGCAGTGGTGATAGGTAACACTAAACAGCTATTTAGACTTATAAAGGGAAGTAATCTGAAACGTTCAATGGTTAGTGAAACTGTAGAGGAGAGAGATGGGTCTGCGTTTCACTAGTAGGAAAGACGACTGGATGATAAATGGAACACTTCGAAGAACAGTTCAACTATTCCGTCTCCCTTTATCGTGAATAGAGCATTAAGGCCGAACCTCTAACAAATAATAGCTGTTAATAATTCAAAACGAGGAAGAGCAGCAGGGTTGGATGAATTATTACCAGGGGCATTTTAGAATTTTTACTTAGATTAACTGAAGTGTTAGCTACTGTATGGGAATCAGATATGATTCTCTCTCTGATTGGTTTCAATCACTGGTTGTCCCAATCTTCAAGAAAGGAGAGAAATCCTCTTGTGATAACAATAGAGGAACCAGTCTGACGAACATATTGTCTAAGATTCTATAGTCAATAGACGTCAGAGTGGAGCTCAGGAACACTAAACCTGAGGAATGGTTTCACATCTGGTTTTGGGTGCGTCGACCAACTACCCACTCTCCACTAGGTGCTGGAACATGGGCACACTTATCCATGCTCAACACTAACTGTATTTCTCGACCTAAAGGCAGAATTCCATTCCGTTGAACTATTTTTGGTTACACGCTGTTCATATCGATCAATCTCTATACATAAATATCAATCTCGTTACAGTGTATCTAATTAATTTTAAAATTCAAAGCTTTAATGAATGGTAAATGCATTCGGAAGAAAGAAACTTCAAAAAACGCATCTAAACAAGAAATAATGAAATTAGAGTACAATTTTGCATAAATGAAAGAAACTATTAGTTGTAAAACAAACCATACAATCTGTACAGCCCATTGTTATACGCAAAGAAATATTAAACATTTGTAGCTGTGATATCACAGTATAAAAAATTCATTTCTTCTCCTTTATCCTCTTGTTAAACAGGTTTCAACCATACAGTGACTTTGTTACTACAGGTTCGGTTCACTGTAATCTGATATGTGCTTTTATCCTTTAATTGAACAATAAGCTAAATAGAAAGTGAAAAATTTAACGTAAATTATGCAAGCAAGATTTGTTGGAGTGGAGGAAAGTAAAAATATACACTGATAGACTGGCCGAAACTAACTAATCATTATTCATAAGTCAGATTTATGATTATTTCGCGTTAGAGAGGGGGGAACATCATATTAACCATCATTTTTGACTATCTGAGATAGCCATGGTTTGGCAGACTAGTATTGATACTGGGTGATGATTAAGGGTGAAATGAAAATTTGGACCGCAGCAGGATTCGAACCAGGGACCACCGGGTTTCTGACCTGGTGCTTTACCAATTGAGCTAGGAAGCTCGATTGCTGACCAGATTTGTTGATAGAGCATCAGTCTAGACACCCGGTGGTCGCTGGTTCGAATCCAGACCCAGTCACCCAGCTTAGAAAATAATTAAACTGAAGATAAGCGCAGTAATTGTTTCCTATAAACTCACGCTGAAGTGACAACAAAGGCTCTGCAGAAGTTCTATAAAATATAATGAAACAGCAGTATTTATGCGGTTGCATTATTCAGTACATGTGGGGATGCAGTAGACTGAGATAAAATCTGTGTTGCTACCTTCGATACTACTACATCATTTATGAATATGACCATCATCACAGTTAAATATCTCAACTACTAAGTTGGTCTTTCATCTCGAGGCTCTAACAACGGTTGTAAAAAGTACTGATTACAATTGAACCTATTCAAGTAAATCATATAATGATGCCTTATATGAAACATCATTTAAACACTGGGAATGTTATAAGTACATAAGTGTGCAGTGTGCGGATGACACCGCAAGCCTACATCAGACCTATGTTGTGCACATTTAGTCAGCATTCATTCTAACATGCAATGTTTTAGAACGGAAAAAATTGAAGACAGCCAGGCAGTCAAGGTTCATGTGGAAACTAAAATTGGTGGTTTAAGACTCTTTAGATGACATAGCTCAAAATCGATCTTAGGAGTGCAGATGCATCCATACATCAATGTCATTCTAATCACAATTTGGTTATCTGCTCTACTCACCTCCCTGCTAATCCCTTGTGACCTTATACAACTTTGGATTACACCTTTTGTCGACTTCTTTGTCTTTTGTTTTGCTGCACTGTATCTTGAGGTACTGAATTGAGTATTAACAACTTGAAGGGCTACATGGTAAACGGTAGGTTGCATGTTGATACTGACTACCTGACTGTGTCGCATCAGTTTTAATTGTCATTCTTCTTGGAAATCTGTTTTAAGTAATGATGAGTAGTGGTTAGTAGTGGAATCGAGGAAGCGCATTTCGTCCTATTTAGGGCTCGTCAGCTGGATATACCTGTCTCTCAGTGAGCGATGTTGTTCCCACTAAGACTGGAACCCGCGACCGATTAATTTGGTCCAATCAACGATGCGATAATATAAGTAACAGTATAAATTTATTTGTGGGATTGACAGTTCACATCGTTGGTAGTATAAAAACGAACTTACAAATGAAATTATAGAAAAGGAAACATATCAATCAATGATTCAAAACTTCGACAACGTAAAGCGTGGTCAGTTGCAGAGAAGTTGTTGCTTTCTCCTTCACCTTTCTGTGATATTCTAGCACGTCAATCAATTTTGCATTATTTATCATCATAATCATCACAGTGTAAATGCTTCATTGAGGCATAAGTAAACATTTAATTCTTGTTTGATTCCTGTAATCTCCCGTTGCTATGCTTGGTCGAACTGCTCGACCTTCGTTGGTAAATGGACTCCGATGCGGACATCGTGACAGGGCCCAACAACAACAATGTGTAATAGAGCAGTATAGAAGCATCTGCACATAGGAGCCAATTCGCCATCCGAGGTCGATCAATTCAACCCAGATAAATTACAAGTCAGATTACAAGTATCAAATAACAACTGATACCCGTTGCATAATTAAGTAGTTCGAGTCAAAGTGGAGACAACATCATTAACTGGGGTCCAGGTACATCCAGTTGATTTGTCCCAAACTGAACAAAACGCGAGTTCTGGATTCCACTTTTGGCAACCAACCAGATTACAATACAAGTAGTTTAATGATACTTACACAACACAAATGCCTTTTTTCTAGAGTTGGGCAAGTCGATCTCTTATTTATTTCAATCAATTACGCTACGTCATGCATTGAAGTTTTTCTTCTCAAAGAATAATCGGAGTCTAGATATATCTTGAATATTTCAAGTCATAACAGTTCCGTTAACTTTCCTAGAGGAAACATGGTTCAAGTCCATAACTTAACTCATTAAGTCAAATCTTCATTGCAGACAATACAAAACTTCGGTTTAGTTTATAAAATATTCAATATAACAGAGTAAAACGTATTGTTTTGTTCACAGAATACTACTAATCAAAAATAACTAACCTCATCAGTTAACAACACAGGAATATCATTCTCTGTGATAAGACAAATGATCTTTATATGATCTTGCCGACACGACAATATGCCAGCAATGCGGCAGTGTAGTTCATGGACATTCATTTCATATAGCATAACTGCATGATAAACTATGTATTTTAAGAGAAAGAAACAGGAAGGATTAAATTCAAAAACATCATGTGTGTGCTCAATTTACTGAATACTTGAATTTACAGATGACTGGAAATTTATTTCTTAAAGTCGGAATCGCATCATTAACCTAGGGCACTTTCGTTCAGTCCACAGCAATGAGTCACCCCTGTTGTGTGAAAGTTAACGATACTTCCTAGCTATCGAAACCTTCGACAGCGGAGCTGAGTTCGAACCTTTAACCCATAAGTTGTAAGTAAAGAGTCTAGACCAATGAGCTAGAGCTCTTGTATGAATAAGATGACGATGACAGCTGGAAGGAAACCTTATAAAACCGATTGTTGATTTTAGTCATGTACAGAAGTGTAGAGAAATCGCGTAAGAACATATGTTGGTTGCAGGCTATTATGAGAATGCAACATCTAACGTTGTTTCGCTACCTTGTGGATACGAGGTTAATTCAACAGCTGGGGTAGAGGTCCTTCAAGACAAACACTTGTTTAGGTCTGCATGTCTGGTCAGTATCATGGTCCGTTAGCGCCGACCCACCCAAAAATGCAGAGATCCATGAAGGACTCCTAATTTTAAAAAGTCATTAAGCATCTAGCTCAGATAACCTACCCGTCTGTTCATTTTAAGGATTGGGATAGTCAGGAAATAGACTACATTGTTTGGGTAGGTATGATAGACTGGGACAGTTTCATCACTCTGAAATGAAGCTACTGTTGTATCTATCTCTGAAAAGGGATAACGTAATGTATACAATCATCATCTGGATACCAGTTTGTTAAAAGTAGCGTGTTGGTTAGTATCATTATTCGCAGGCAGTGTGAAACTGATGCACAAAGAGTAGACCAGTTCTTTTTCAGATTGTGAATGGATAGGATCAAGTATTCGCTCTTTGTTAAAGGCTTGAACACAGTCACACGTAGTGAGAGCGAACAATCGTTGTTTTCTTCCGCCAAAATGTACCACATTTGGCGCTGGCATGACGTTAACCATGCTATAAAAGATCAGGTTTACAACGCGTCGGTGTGGACAGTTCGGCGCTACCCCTGTGAAACCTGAAGTCTTCGAGCTGAGAGTGTTCGACAACTTTTCGTCCTCGATTACCGTTGTTTCCATGAGATTGATCACATCTAATGGAAACACCGTGTAAGTAATTCTGAGGTGAGGCGGCGTGTATTTAGACATGATAAAGATCACCACTACTTTTTCATAAGTTCTGATGTTGTTTACATTCTTTTTTTCGTCTTTTGTAACTTCACAAGGTTTTTTTATCATTTTACATGGTGCACTTTTTGGTATCCGTGTTATACCAAGTTCCTTTCCTAATGCTAATGATAATGTGACAAGCCAATAGTAGGATAGTAACGCGTTTATCATGAAACTTAAGTGTTTTGTGCGCACAGTGTTAAGAAGTGCCAATTAAGAATGAAAGGCTGTCTAGTGCTATTAGATTTTCAATGGTTCTTTAACAGGTCCCAACCTGTGATGGAAGCCAATCTAGCAACTAAACTATTGAATGGCTGTCGTAAAAAAAGACATACTTGACTGAGATTCTTCAATCACACGTACTTACCCAAATAGTGTACCTAAAATGTTGTTACGACTAAACTTTCATTCTCAGGGACTCGAACTTGATTCACACAATGATGTTAACACTACACGTCTGTTGGACAGCTGATTTATATGGTTAGAAAATCACTATTCAGTAAGCAATAGGCCACACCTACTGTGTGCATGTGGGGGCTACTTACACTACTTGGATGCCCAAACCTCACCAATTAGAGCTGGGTTCGAACTTGCGACTCATTGGCTGAAATTCAACTAGCTAAACTAATAAATCACAGTCTCATAAATAAGTGACAGCTTCATTATGATTAGTAGCTCCGAGTATATCAACAACCTCTTTTATTGTCCGTAAATAACTACTACGAAAAACCATGAAGATAGAGAAATATATGAACATATTGGACATCATATAAAGACAGAGTATAAACAAGGTATTTTTCTAGATAAACAGATAAATACAAAAACTTACTTGTTTCTCCTTTCAAGCATACATACAATATACATCTTGGAACACTTGGTCTAAACAGTACAGAATACAAAAAATAAAACAAGGCTACTTCAATCTTTACAAGAGCCATATACAGTATACGATTCTTTTCTTAGACAGATAATTTTGGATACTTATAGACAGAATATAGAATGGAAAATAGAGATTTCTTGAAAACAGAGCAGAAAAGGTAATACATATGACATTTTGTTTAAATAGGTTGTATTGGTTGGACTGGTGAAGGAAGACTGCAGTAATAGACAAACAATCGACGGTGGTAGAAATCAAAAGCTGCCGATTCCGTGATACTGCTCAAAATCGATCACAACAGCATACAGTTTTCATCGTCTTCTAAAATTTCACTCTCATAGACTTTTATCTACTTTAGTGTCATCTTATTCTATCCATTTTTTCTCTGAATGCTAATTTGGAATGTGACAACTTAAACTGATATAGTTTGTAACACGGCTTACATTGATTTACCTGTCTTACTGTCAGAAAGGTAATGTACATATTTCTAACGAGGTAGCAGTAAATCACGGATGTACATATCACTTCATAAATCTGAAAGTTTTAGAAAATATTTTCTGCGCATATTTCAGCATAGATTGTGCTCAGTTTTAGTATGCGACACCATTTCACATTCTTTTGTGAACATTATATAAATTCGCTATTATTTCTCATAAATACGTCGCAAGATTGGTTTCATATGGTATTCATAATATTAACTAAGACTAGTATCAATTACGGTAATTTAGTTGGTTGTGGCTAGCAGAGGAATCTAGGACACGAGTTTCGTAGTACTTCGGACTCGTCAGTTGAATGCATCTTCACCCCAACTAAATTACCATAATTGACATTCAGGTAATATCGTGGCATCCGCATAGGAGCCTATATGCCAGTAGAAGTCGAACAATTCGATCAAACAAAACAACAGAGAATTTCAAGTATACCAATAAATGGTAATAACACTAGTGACTTTAAGAATGCTTCACTTCCTTAATAAAAAGAAAGTACACTTCACACCAAATTATTATTACTAAAAGTAAATAAACATAATTACTTCATTGTTTATTATAAAATATTCTATAAACTGAACAGTGGATGAAAGATGTAGAAAACCTGGGTTTGAAATAAATCCGGTTCACTCAGCAAGAGAAGCGTATGAAGACATATCCACCGAGAATGTATTCAGATCATGTTACAAAAAACGGTTGTACAAGATATGAATTCAAAATAAAGGCGGGGCAGGGATCAAACAAACCATTGCAATACAGATATTCACTAGAAGCATGTACTACTTAATTAACGATAATGTGAAGGCTTTTTGTACTACCCAAATAAAATCTTCTCAAATGGAATTGGAAATCCTGACCTCAGTGATTTACCATGTCATACACTATAAAAAGAAATTGAATGCTTCTACCGTACTTACACTAAGAATTACAGTATTTTAGTTTTACTGTGTTGTCGAAAAATTAGTGATCAACGGTAAGAGTTCAAGAGACATATTGCTTTGAGATTATATGGCAGGCTGGCCTTTGACAACCCACACCATCTGTAGCACCACCGTCATATCCGATTGCCAATCAACGGTCGCGATTACTTTACTGCACACACACACACACACATGCACACCAGTCAGCTCTCTTCTACTCTATCACTGTAGAACATGGACATTCACGCTGGAAGACATGAGAAGGCTTCAAGTGTTCCACCATCCTCGCCTTCATAGTATACGCCGTATTCCATGGTGTCACCACCACCACCACCACCACGTGAGTAACGCACAAGTCAGCCTCAGGTGTAGACTTTTAGACAGAAGAGGTAAGTCAGTTGACACACCTGTCAGTGAACCTTCATCGACTGAGATGACTGGCTCAGACATGTGTTTCGTATGACTAGTCAACGTCTGCCTCGTCACACAATGTTGGTCGAAGTACGTTCACACTGGAAAAAGACTCCGGTGGTGGGGTGACACACTAAAACATGGCATCAATGTATGAAGTCTCTGACTGTTCGTCTGAGCCATGTGGATGTAGACGATGTAGACGACCAGCCAGTTGGAGTCGGTGGGACAAGAGGAACAAGTGAGTGGTTGGCGACTGACTACTCGAAGTGATGGATGGCATGACTGAGAACTAATGTCAGTGGTGCACATGTATACACACATTATCCTCATCTTAACGACGTTATACCGAATCTCACCATCTTCTCATTCTTCCTTTCTCTCATTTGGTGCTTTATATTTCTTTTCACTGAATTTTCTTATCTCCATCTTCCACTTTACTGCCTTTTTACTTGATGTAGTGATATGAGTTGTGGCAACTTGGACCGTTACTCAGTAGTGTCTGATCGTATGTTGATTCGGATGGATGGATGTAACCTGGCCGAAATAAACTTAGAACAATAAACTTAAACACACAGCCTAATGCACTGAAAGCGGAATAAGAGATGAAACACCTTTATCACTTCTTCATACATTCAAAATACCGTATGGTGCAGTTTAAGGAAAAGCACACTAGGTCAACACCACCTTTCTAATTTCTCCTAGTAAATTCAAAGAGATTCTCTCACCGATGACTTAAACTCACAAAGACAAAATATACTTTCGAGCATGAAACGGTAAACAGAAAACAGTCTTCCTTGCATCATAAGAAGAATTTGAAAAGGCTTAAAATTAGTTGAATATATTCCTCTAAGGCAGAATTACAACGGGGTCTTACTCAAGGACAACAATTGTAATGTTTGGATGTAACAACTGTTTTATTGAAGTGTACGCAAAATTTTCATCGACAAGATCAAATTACGAATATAGGCTATATCATTGTTTCTTAGTCCTAACAGCTTAAAAAAAAGCTATATTTTCCAGTTTAGAAGTTTTCACTTGGTAATGAATCTTGTTCTACTATGCAGCTTATCATATCACTGTGTCAGGTTAACAATATGATAAAGGCTACCAGACTGTGTTCTAAGGAAGTTATCGAAAATTACCTAGATGTTATACAAAATAACTTCGTTACATAATGGATATCCCATAAAGTAGTTCAACAAACACTTTAAGCCTAAAAATGAGAATTGAATGATACAACCGTACTAAAAAAGAACATGTTCATCAGACTACCATTCAAAAGCGATGAATTAAGTTCACAAAATAATCGCCGACTGAATGTATGCATCTCACTAACTCATCCAGCTGCGAAACCAACAGAAGAACATTACCAGAGAAACGAGTTTAGATGTATGCTACCCCTAATTGCATTTATTTATTCACATGTACTCGCAGTAATATGTATGTCGGAAGAACGGAGAGGCTCCTTACTAAACAGATCTCTGAACATATACCGAAAAGCCTGCCATTGAGGTGGAAGGTTACGTAGCAGCGCCATTGGCAAGCATATACTCGATACAGGTCAGGCAGCAGACTCAAATACAGCTTTTAAAGTAATCAATAGACAAGGAAATGGTAGACTTCTGCGTTATGCAGAAGCACCAAAAGCAATTCATCGACTGAGATCAGACTTATGTGTACACAAGAAGTTTGTGGTTCACCCTACATTGCCTAGGTGGGTCGTTTTTTTTCTTTACAGCTTTATTTAATATTTTATTCTTTCATCTAATTGTCTTACATATTATTCTCAAACATTATTCATATTCCTATCACTTTCCATCTACTTTAACTCATTATTTCCTAAACACGTTTGTTAATACATCCTTTCCCATTAACTCATATACTTTGTACACCGTCTTTGTTGTGTTCCTCCTTCTATTAGAATTCCTACCACCTTGAGCTGTAATCACATTCCTATACTACTATCACGTCGTATTAGTGTTGTTGCTTGTATTATCCTATCCATCATTAATATATAATTAAGACAGGCAATATCGAGGCATCTGCGCAAGAGCCCATACATATGCCAATAGATACTGATCAATTCGGTCCAATCGGCAATGGGATAATATAAGCAACAACACTAAAACTATACCCGTCGCACAAGAGGTGGCTATAGTGGCCAGGTGGTGTAGTGGATAATCCGACCCTCTAGCATTTGAAGCGGTCGGTCCCGAGTTTGAGTCCAGGTAGGAACAAACCACTCACTGGGAGGCAGGTACATCTAGCCGATGAGTCCTAAATAGGGCGAAATGTGCGTCCTGGATTACACTGTTAGCCACTATCATCATTAATATCACCTCGCATTTTGCTTTGTGTTTACTGACCAATTTTTTAAGTCTGACTTGTTGTAACTCGTTCTCTGTATTGAATGTTTAGAAGGTGAACTTTATCATTCATCTCTGTTCCTATATATATTGATGTATTGATGTTTAGGTTTGAAGGATGTTTCTGTTATTGTTTACTATTGAACTGTATCAAACGACTCATGCTGGACACTAATAGCTTACTGTACATAATTTTAAATTTAGTGCGTATGTCGAAGATTCAGAGCACACGAAATGAATTCGACTCATCGATCCTACAACGTTTGTTGTTCTTGTTTTGCAATATGATAAGGTTGTGTACATAAAAGTGATTCAGAAACAAATATACAATGGTAAAGTTAAATATAAAAAATGTAATGAGAAGACAAAGACCAATTGAAACATGTGATGTGTTAGCGCCATACATTTCGAACATTCTGGTCACACATAGACTTGTCGAAATATTTATATGAAAACTTAATAAAAGGGTCAATGAAGTCAATAGGAAACATAAGAATAAGATGAAAACACTGATACAGAATGGCTACCCGTTGAAATTTATCGACAGGTTCAAAAGTTATGTTGCATTGAAAAGTATGCAGCGTTCTGTTGCTAATACAAGTGTCTTCATCCTATTACCATTAAAAAATGATTCACATAGCTTCATTGTGAGGAAAAGGCTTAGATCAGCCACCTGTAAAACATATTATGAAGCCAAGATCATCACTGCAGAGAAAACAAAGTCCATGTTACAACACAAACCAAAACAACATATAAATGATTACATCGCATCCTACTATGTTTGTCAATTTACATGTATGTGTAGACGCACATACATAGAGAGGAGTAATCGTGATATGCAGTTAAGGATGCTTGAACATGTATCTAAGTCGCTTCAAAAACAAATGACCTCAATAGATCCAATAAGTCCAGGTGACAAACTTCCATCTTCATCCATCGCTAAATATATACTAGAAACTAGTCACAAGGTAGGCATGAAAACAGTTTTTAAAGTACTACATAAAAGTGGTCAGAGCCGAGTCAATAAATTTATTGAAGCTCTTGACATCCGTAAATTTAAACCCCCCTTGTTATATACAAGAGTAATTTGTACTCACGTTGAATCTATCTTGGTAGTATTGACTTTAATTTTCACATGAAAAGTAATGCCCTTCCTATTCCTGTGTTGTCTATCGACTTCATTGACTGTTTTCGTAAATTTTCATACAAACAGTTCAACAAGTTCATATGTGATTGGATTATTCGAAATGTATAGCGCTAATATACATCAGATAATCTTCGTCTTCTCATTACACTGTTTAAAATTATCAAAGGAACCAGTTGCATTGAAGTCAAATATGATATCTTGCACACTGAAAATAAACCAGTTAGTTTGATTGTGTTAACCACCTACTATCTTACAAGAGGTACAATATTACCTAGAATAATAACACGCTCTAAACCCTTCAGCTATATCAAATAAAACTTTGAAAACAAATGACGATTAGTAAGTTGTGTTAGCAAAATTAAGCGCTGATTATACTCCTCATCAACAACAAATATATTATTTGAATAGTAAGCTAAATTGACAGACAAATCAACGTAAAACCTGGTACAAAAGTGCATCAGTTGCCACACTCCACAAAGAACAAGTGGACGTAAAAACAGTAGTATTGAAGTAGACAAAAGCGTGCGGGAGGTGACAGGAAGAATAAGAGTTAGCGAAAAGGTGAAAGATTCCAAAGATGTCGACGAGTGAATACATCTGCACCATAATAACCGATTTCCAGTCACATCATCAAACGTCTGCAGCCACTTATTCCTATTATCTCAAGAATCTCAATCAGACGATCTATATCCCCCCCTCCTATCAAAAAGACATCTCAGGATAATAACCAAAAATCTTATGACCTGGTGTCAGGTCTTGGTTTAACCTTCGTTTAAAGTAATATTACCTCAAGTAATATTGCACGTCGAGGTTGGCAGTGTCTCGGCGTGTGTGAAACGTGTACAAGACACCTAGTTTGGCGAAGGTTCACAACCTTATCCAGTAACTTGTGTTCCCTGCCTACTTTCATACATAACCTCTACATAGTAGGGTAAAGTGAACTTGTTTGTTTTAGAACTAATGATGAAACCATTCCGGTTCAGAGAAATGTTGCCGTTCTCGTTAACAAGGATGAGGAAAATTGAAATTCTTTTAGGTAAAATATAAAACACTAACGTGCACTTTATTCCTTTTTAGAGAGAGACTCTGATTTGCCTTAATAATGTGAAACATGAATTGACTCACCTGCTATAAAGTGAGTTATACAGACGTAAACCTTCTAATGATCCACATATTGATAATAAATCCTCTTTTGCTAAACGAAGCATATCACGTCCTAAAGAAAAAACGAGAATGGTTTTAGAATAATAACTTACACCCAAAACAAAACGTCAGTTAATGAAGTGAAGACGACATAATGTCTGTCTGGAAGTAATGCAAATTTCAGAAGTGTAGTCTACGACCACCACTGTATTCATTATAGAATGAAGTGGAGAAAAAAACGTCAAGAAACTTCACAAAACGCATACAGGTTCAGGGTCTGAGAGTGGTATGATTAGGATTCCAGAAAGCAACACCGTTTGAAACGTTATACTCAGACGGACACATCAGGAACGAATTCCTAGACCCATTAATCTGATCCATATACCCAACCACTAACAAGAAAGAATAAAACAAAGCAAAAATAAACTGAGAAAGTTCATTGTTGCTCGAAACTGACAATGAAGATCAGCCATTGAACGAGGAAGTTTATATGCACCCAGATTTACGATTTTATAACAGTTCACATTTCACAAAACTACAAGAATGAAATGGTTCACTTTGTTGTCAATTTCGGGTTGAACAGCTTTTAGAAACAGTAGTAATTCTCAACACAGAGGAAGGTACTTTCCGAAATGGTAAGCGATGAAATCCTCCTATTTCACGAAAAGTTACACCTTGCAATAACTCTCACCTACACTTCCGACATGAAGAGAAGTTAATCCCAAATCTAAAATTGGTGTTTAGTAACAACACAAAGTCTAAGCAATCAAATTTTCTTTATTTGTTAAGGATGATAATTCTGATTAATACCAAAATGCCGGGAATTACCAGATGCGTCTAGAATTTCATCCTGTCCAGGCTGTTTTGTCTAAAGCATACTGTTGAACAACACGTGTAGTTAGAAAACCCTCACGCTGACCTGTAGATTTCGTGCTTAGATCACTTTGATCTGGCTAGGGAAATCGATAGATCAATGTGAGTGGTTTTTAACAACTAAGGTTGTTCAGTAGTATATTTCCTTAGCCAACGACCCTTTTGTGTCAGAGATAGTGGCTATTAGGTGATTTCCAACGAAAACCATCTTGATACCACAATCGGGTAGTCAAAAGACTACACAGCAGTAAGAAGTGTCAACATGGAGCGTACAATTTGTAAATCATTTCCATACTGATCAGTGATCGATGTGCTATGCAGTTCCCACAAGGTACGTACATGAATAAAAGAGTTAAATGTATCATAATTATAATACTTTTTACATTTGTTTTCTGCAACTATGAGAATCTTTATTGACTGTCTTATCAAATCCTCTGTGACCGAGCTACGGTGAATATGAGCAAATAGCAAAGGCTGGCTGGACTGTTTGCAGCTGCAGAGTTAAGTAACTAAACAAATCCCATAGGAAAAGTACACAATATAGAAGCGCATCTGTACCTAATTGATATAGAAAAACTACAACTGGAAGACTGTTCTGGGCACAGCTCAATGATAGGACTACTACGACTGCTTTCAAAAAAGAACTGACTAGTTGTCGGAACGAGTCAACGTCACTCACCCTGAAGCACACTGGCACCATTTTCAGTGTGTGATACAAGCACCCCTAAAGCTTGTAACTGACTTTCAGGAAAAAGTTAGAAAAGGTATTATGAATCTCAGTAACTTTTGAAATTGTTTATTCTCTCATACAACTTTGTCTACTTTGATATCACTCCTTTTCTATCCACCTGTTCTTTGTTTACTACTGTGAAGTGTGGCAACCTGAGACAATGGACTTCTCTGTGTGAGGTTCTACGTTGATTTTGTTTGTCTGTCCGCTGCAACGTTTTCTGAAATAATGCATGCATGCAAACATATCTCTGCAGGCTCCAGGCCCAGTGGGGAGCGGAAACAACTCAAACGTAGACTGACAGACAGTCTACATAATGACGGCGAGCAATGCTGGGCAGCGAAGGGATGAAAAAGGCAGCACAGATAGGTAAAAGTAGACAGTTATTTAGACTTTGCAGAGCAACCGGGGAGAAAATGTGAGATTACAGCGAAGAAGGATGAGCGTGTAAAGATACACAGAATAAATAAACTGACTATCAGCTACTCCAACTGTAGATGATCCAAACTGTCTTACCTGGAACTAATAGCCAGCAATTGCCGCTTGGATGAGGCTTTTCGGAGTCTAAACGCACAAACTCCGCGTTCAGTGTAGGTTAGATAGTAGTAAAATAAACTGTTGTAATATTTTCAGCATTACCGATCGGAACACTATAGGATGAGATAAAGTGACGGTCCTTAAAATTAACTTGTCAGCATGAAAGGAGGGATTGATAGCCGAAGTTTTGCTTATCGAATCAACAATAAATACATGCAGCAGGAGTGACTCAATACAGATATTCAAGATATTTGTAAACTTCGGCTGTCTATACGACAAATGATAGATCAGAGATAGAATTATATAAAAATAAGGGTATGTGGTTATTTTTGATATGAAAATGAACAGTAAATTCTCCTCAAAATGTCATCCAGCAAATAATACTGTTTCACTGGATGAGCAAACAAATGAATAGTGAACTATATGTTTTTTCTATTCATTCCATATACACCACTGTTAGCAATTCACCATCATTATCAACATAGGACCAGGCATTACTGCGTAACGGTCCGAGTTGCCACACCTCATATCAGCACATCAAGTAAAAAGGTAGTGAGGCGAAGGATGAAGATAAGTGAATGCAGTCTAAAGAAATATAAAGTACGAGAAGAAAGGAAAGAGTGACAAAATGGTGAGATTCGGTATAGCGTTGTTAAGATGAGGATAATGTGTGTATACATCTGGGCCACTGACTTCGGTTCTGAGCCATATCACCTAGGGTCTCCAACCACTGATTCCTCTTGTCCCGTGGACCCCAACCACCTAGTCTGCATCGTCCTACATGGCTTAAACCAACAGTCAGAGACTTCATACATTGGTGCCATGTTTTTGTCTGGCCACCTCGGGCCTTTTTCCAGCCTGGACCCACCTCAGCCAACATTGTGTGAGACACGCATACAGGACCCAAGTGCGGTTATTCACCTGACCTCTCCTGACTGTTAGCAATTGGAGATCATCAACTTGTTTGGGTAGATGTTCTGAATTTACTCATGCTATTTAAACTCTAGATATCCATCTCTTACCCTTCAATTACAACAGAAACAACTTCAGTATGTAAAGGGAGTGACGTGATGGTTACACAAAACAATGGGCATTGAATTTCTGAGGGCGTCAATTTTGTTCAGACTAGGAATCACTGAGGTGTCTGTGAGTCTAAGAAAAGTTGCTCACCACATGTAACTAGAACCGGGATAAGAGTCGTTAATTGTAAGCTATCGAAATAGTATCCAATCGTGGGAAACGTTGGAATACGTAGGCATAAATATTGTAACAAATCTAAGATTCTAGTCGCCAGTCCTCACCGATTGAGTGAAGCAGACAAAGTAGGCACTAGATTATGCAACTCGGAACTATAGTGCACTAAATCAACTTTTAATAGCCAAACATCTCTGTTTAAGACTTCTACTGTTTACCTACTACATAAAATAAATAATGATTTACCAATCTGGACAATCGTAAAATAAACAAATATCTGTATACAAACAAAAAGTGACAAGAAATACCCGTAAAATTCTTGAATGTTTCTACAAGATTCTCGAAATGTGACTGACAAAGCCAACTTGACACCTGTGAGGCAGTCATTTCAGAATGTACTGAAGGCATGTTACCAATGGTACTATTGATAGAAGGACAAGGTGAGAGTGATTCATTAACTATTGTTAATGGTGATGCTCTAGTTTGTTGTACATTTACTAATTGTACAATTGAATCACATAAGGAGTTTTGATGACTGACCACAGGATCAGGTTTTTCCAAGCATAATTCTTCGTATTTCAAAGAATCCCCATCACCGTTATCATCATCGTCATCACGATCATGATTATCGTCTTCAGTGCAATATCCAATTTGATCTAGAACTCTTTCTGCTACATTCCGTCCTGGTGATGTATGAATATCACTACAGTAGCCAGCATCACGACTGGCAGGGGTCGCACTGGACATTCCAAGTAAAGGATCTTGATCGATTTGTTGCATTGAGTTGAGTGGAAGATTTGACACAATGATAGATGATGAACAGGATTTATCATCATATTTATCGACAATAGTCCATTTACTGAATTCATCATTTCCTAGACTGGAAGATTCACCAGATGTACTCAGCTCATAAATTTTCGAGTTACTCATAGCATCCGAATTGGAATGTTGGAACGGGATTTTCATACGTATCGCTTTAGACTAAAAGTTTAAAACAAAGCTTTATAAAATTACAGAAAAGCGAGAGGAAGTTTAATTAAATACACAGCAATATGCTTACAGTGATGATTAATAAAATCTTCATTATAGTTTCTTTTTATAGAGTAAGTCACTTAAAAAGAAAAATATAAGAAATAAATGGATACGGCAAAGAAATTACTTGAAGTGTATTGGGCGTTGCTGATCAGAATGGATGTAAGTAGTATATGTTGGGAGGGCGACAGAAATCATAGGCAATTATCAGCAAAGGGGTAAAGATTCTGACCAGTGAAACGCAATAGACAATGTGGGTGTATTCAGAGTAAATCAAGAGAGAAGCAGAAGAGGAAATGAAGCACAATATGCAAATGACTTTCTTAGTGCAAGGTGTACAAATATTTAATGACTACTGTACGAGATGCAATAATAAAGATTCCTTACTGAGTTTCAGTCTTCTTGTTTTCTTCAGCAGTATAAGTGGCATTAGCAGTTATGAAGATAAGTGTAGCTTACTATTATACAGCTGAGCGAAAGTTTAAAAACGATCCAAATTACCAACTACATAAAGGTGCGTATGCTATCAGTTACACCTATTTAAGTGAAGGATAATTTATACTATTGCTTAGATTCACAGATGAGTACAAATGAGTAAATCAATGAAGCATAGTTTCGTAACGCAACAACTTTACAAAGACAATGCTGGTTATTTCTGTGCCAAAATTTTAGATCCCCATTAACACATTTTAAAGGATGAGCTTCACTTGACCATACTGGAAATTAAAGGAGATATATTATCTTCCAAAAGCATTGTGATCCGCTCCGTAAGTCCGCCATGAAATCGTATTAATTGCAGTAAATTTATTACCAACTATTTCATTTACTGACAGTATCATGAACCTAAATTCGTTATGCATTTGACTAAAATTGCCTTCTGACAAACTGAGTATATATTAAGAAGTATATTCATCAATTTTTTCTCCACAACATAATAAAATTGACTTACCTTTTGTAATTCAGGTAGGTTAGAAGTGCTGTCATAACTGTGTACGGCTCTTCTTTTCTCAAAAATTAGATTAGCTTGCTTTACTCGTCCTACTGAATTATCCCAGGCAGAACACATTATTCTGTTTTTGTTACTCCGGACCCATCGAGAAGCACTTCGACAACTTCGTCCACAGTATGAACAAGCACCAACGCAACAATCTCCCACCCTTAGACGTCTACGCCGTTGAAGACAAGGCTGTATTATACAATTTGGACGCCCATTGGAAGATGGAGAAGGTGAGATACCAGGAGATGAATTTCTTAACATTAAATACGCTGTACGCCGAAAAGGTTGTACAGGTGTAACAAAATCAGGTAACATTCGATCATTCCTGGAGGATCCAACTGGATGGGGTAATTTAAAATTGTGTGTTGCATCATTCACGTCCTCAAGTGTAAAGTTTTCCATTGCAGTTTGTTTTTTAGGAAATGAACTATGATACAAAAATATGAAATGCAAAAAAGCCATTAGAACTTTATGTAAATTGATGAGTGTAAAACTTTACGGTCTAAAAACTTTTAGTAGACTTCATCTTAGTGAAATCCTCATTTCGAAGAAGGATACAGTTCGAGTACTCTATGTCTATCGATGGATCTAAACTCGGAGGGGTAAATATGGTAGCAAATTGAAAATTCTTGGTGATAAAGGAAACAAATCTTCATGTGATAAATATAAAGTAATCGGTAAAATAAAAAAATGTTTAAAATTACAAATCATGTAGTTACTCGATGCCTAACTAATGTTAAAAACAAACTCAAAAAAACCAATTCAGTTTCAAGCATGAACAATGGTTGATCGATTACGTCCTCATCATTCAACACTTATTGGTACACAGGCATAGTTGCCGGTACCCGACACTAATCATATTTCTTGAACTGAATACGACATTCACCTGAATCGATCGAGATGTGTCGTAGCAGTGTGTATTCTTGAAATGAGCATTGAGCGAGTACATTATGACAATCAAAGCTCTCTCCTCAAAATCATGCAGCCATGTAAGGGTTTATGGACAGTTGTCATCTGAAGTAACAAGTAATGGTGCCCGCCAAAGATGTCTACTATCATCCTTCATTAATCTTGTTACGGATACACTTAAAAACAAAACTCTTTAGCAACTCCGATATCCAACGGATCGATTTGTTTCTCGAATGGCGCTTGGTTGACTTACAGTATATAGACGATATATTCCTGTTCAATGAAGACACTGACAAAATGCGGTTTTCTAAACACCTTGAGCGAATATGCATTTTGCACCTGAGAATTGTAATCTGATATTCAACGACTAGTCTGCATCAATTCTCAGCTTAAGGACAGTGAGTGATATGATGAAATATGTTGACCACTTCACCTACTTGAAAAGTTGAATAAACCCGATTGGGTTAGTTGTAGATGAAATTGGAGCTTGTATACGAAAGGTCCAACGGACGGCTGCTATCCTGACGTGGTAGTCAAGAAAACCAAATGAGCTATGTTGATGGAACGCTTGTTCTCTCGAGATCCTACCATGTCAGAAGGTTCAGCTGGATGGTGTTAAGGCAAAAATCGGTTATCTTTATAATGTGAATTACTACGCTGTGATGGAGGTCGGACGCCGAAGTCGTGCTGCTGGCTGGATGGGGTTTCTGATGGCAGTAAGACTTTTCCTGTAGATCATGCTGATGCTTCCTTATCCATGGGAAAGAGGAATAAAAAAGGTTGGCCCTAAGAATAAGACACTGGCACTACCTCCATGGCATACCGATGGCGGTAATACGGGTTCATGGTTAGATTCATAGAAAGTAAACTGAAATCCCAAAACAAAAAAGCCGACTTCAAACAGATATCCCCCTAGGCTCTGAGGTCACTTATTAACCCTTCTTTTTCAGACACCTCAAGAAGAACTAGCCTTCCAAAGTGTGGGTAGCTGAGAAATGTCAACCGCCCTCAAAACTCTGACAGCCTTGAAGTCCCCCAAGATCACTATCTACCTTCCACATCCTTATCTTCCAACCTTTCTTCACCTCTGTCAGTCAATTATCCTACATCATCTTCAATTTCTCCCAGCTATATGGCTCTCGACAACGATGTGAGTTCACACAACAGCATCACTAGTCTCTTACAACTGCGTTCCAAGTAACACATTGGAGTTTTCAATGACGGCACCCTCCGTCAAATTAGCCAACAAGTTTCATTGGCCAAGACTCTAGTATCTGCGGCTATGAATGTATGCTCTGTTTGTGAGACATGCAAACAGGACCTAAGTGTGGTTATTCACTTAACCTTATCCACAAACTTCACCCTTCGAGTTTCTGGAGATTCGATGCCTAGTTCTCGCGGTCCTGAAGGCGTAGATACGGCATTAAATACTACGGTAGAAAGTTCATTACTCATCTGGATCCCAGTTGACAGTCTCCTAGGCGCTGATCGATTGAACGGAAGAGTGAGGACTAAATAGAACAGTGAAGCTCGCCGCTGTCTCACTATAATCTCTATTTGCGCACCCAATGACTACAGTTTAGACGAAGTAAAGGATGAGAGTTCCACTGAAAACTGTCTAACCTAATACTCAAAGTCAAGTGCTCAAACATGGTGGTTGTTGCACGTGATTTCACTGCTTAGATGGGTAGGCTAAGTCAAGCAGAAAGGTATTTAGGCGGCACTTTCGGAATCCCAGTCGAATGGACAGACAACTGAGCTCGCCGATTACAACTGTATTCAGACAACCATTTATTTCTGGCCAGCGCAAACTTCAGACGTAAAGGGAGACACTAGATGATGTGGTGTCCAACGTCCCCACTGTTGCCAGTTATCGTTAAAGGTCAGTGGGAGATTGCCACTCCTTCTGGACTATGTGTTTGGACAGTGATTACGCATCCGTTCGAGCACGTATATGTCTGTGTCTAAACGGGTCAAGAGAAATAGGCACATTAGTTTGCAAATGATTTACAAATTGCACGGTGCACGTTGACATTTCTCATAGCTGAATTAGCTTTTTAACTGCCTAAATGTTAAGATCACTCTGACCTGGTTGGTGAAATCTGCAGATCAGTCTGAATGGTTTCTAACTCCTCGAATTGTTCACCAGCATATTTCGGATGTAGAACAACTATTAACAAAAACATTGCGAGTGTATCCCGATAAGGAGAGTATTAGGGATGCTTTCAGCGAGAAACTGGCTCGAAACTTATGGGAATAGAATAAAATCACTAATCCAGAAGAAACCTGGCACCATCTTAAGTCTGCAGTAAAAGTAGCGATGAAGATCGAGGATGACACTGAGAAATTGGTCGTGAAAATCCACTGAGCCTCAACAACGTCTTCTGAACAATTGGATGCGTTCCTACGCACCCCTGTAGACTCCGAGTACGAGGAGTGCAAAGACTACAAGCAGTGTTCAGCAGCAAAACCAAACAGACGGAAAAGGTAACGGCGATAGATAACATTTATTCAGAGAAAATGGATGGAAATACGATTCATACACAGTGAGGACGACTGAAAGCATGGGATAAACACTTCCAGGAATAGTACAACTGGCCCCCCATCTACTAGTGTCCAATACCTAGCCGGATCCTGAATGTAACGTTGAGATAATCAGATTAAATGAAGTGTTAGCAAGTGAATGGGAGTCAGATATGATCCCCTCTGACTGGTCTCAATCACTGATTATTCCAGTCTTTAAGAAAGGGGACAAGCCCTCTTGTGATAAAACTACAGAGGAATCAGCCTGAAGAACATAGTGTCTAAGATTCTAGGTTCTATAATCATCAGACGCCTGAGTGGAGCTCGAGAACAGCAAGCCCGAGGAAGTCAAGGAGGTTTCAGACCTATTCGTGAGTGTATCGACCAAATATTCACACTGTGCCAGGTTCTGGAACACAGACAAGCTTACCGACCCCCGACACTAGCTGTATTTCTCGACCTGAGGGTGGTATTCGACTAACTCGATCAAGAGGTCTTATTGGGATGTCTCTCCCTAAAAGAGGTACCAAGTAGGTACAGCACTTGGTGAAGACTCTTCACTCGAACACTAATAGGCGTGTTAAAGCCTATGGGAAGTTATCAGATGAGGTGTTTAGGTCGAACTGCGCCTGTCAACGATGTCCACTCTCTCCACTATTATTCAACGTTATCATAGACATATTTCTGGAGGTCTCACTCTCGGCATCTGACCTTACATGGATTGTTAGAGCATGCAAATGAAAGTCCTATCAGGTGAAGACGTTGACAGGATGCAAAGTTTCCTGGGCACAGAGGCAATTTGAGAATATTCTGGGTGAATTTCTCACCATCCACATGCAAAACATCGTTGCTCCCCGACTGGTTCGCGTTGGTCCCGTCTAAAAATAGGGAGTGAAATGGTTAAATGCATTGACCACTTCATTTACTTCGGAAGTCAGATCAGTCGCGATGGATCAATGGCCGATGAAATCTTCCTACGGATACAAAAGACTCGATTAGATTTCGACAAAATATATCATTTGTGGCGGTGCTGTGATTGTCCCTTAAAGGTTGAGTATACCGCACTGCAGCTCTCTCTCTTCTACTCCATGCCTGTGAAACATGGCCATCAAAGGTGGAAACAATAAGGTATCAGGTGGTTAACTATCGTTGCCTTTTTAGTACAGATCATGTGTCTTGGTGTCACGAGGTAGGTAATGCAGAAGTCAGATGTAAAGTTTTAGGGAGGAAGTCAGTTGATGAGGTTGTGAACTGTCATCAGCTGAGGTGGCTGTAAAGTGTATCGCGCATGCCCAGCCACCATCTGCCTCGCCGCAGAATGTTGGTTGAAGTAGGTTTAGACTACAAAAAGGTCAGGAGCGACCAAACTTAAACTGTGAAATATTTGACTGTCGATCGTAGCCGTGTAGTGAAATGTAGACCTCCTTGCTCACAGTCAATCTCAGTGGTCCAGTTGTACCCACACACTATCCTCATCTTCATTATCATACTGACATAATCATTTTCTTATTCCTCCTTGTTATTTTATCACGACTTTCCACCGCACTTAACTGCCTCTTCTATTTCTTTATCCTTCATGTTAGTGCTTCCTCGCTTGAGGTAACTGATGGCAATGCTGACCATTACACACTAACACCTGGTGCGATGTTGATGTCGTCTATCTCTCTGCCTTTGGAATTCACCAACTACTAATGCCCCTTGTCGGCTAAGTGTATACGAAAAGATAAGTATATTGCACAGCAGTTGGTTTTGTCGTGTTGTACGGTTGTGAAATTTGGCCCATCCAAGTAGACGATAAGAGAAGGCCACAGGTTTTCGATCATAGGTGTCCCTTCGTAGTATTTCTTTCGTATGGTGGAATAACTGTGTCAAAGTTAAAGTAGACTACTAGGAAAGAACGTTAAGTCAGTCAATAAGGTAGTAAAAGAAATTATATGATAGAAATCCATGAAGTCTGTAACTGTTTATTTGATTAGAAAGTGAACAACGTGAGAGATTATATACAACCTTTGGGCTAATAAGTCAGCTACCAGAATGATTCACTTCAAGAAACTTTCATCATAATCAGCCACTCTGATACTTTACTCTTAATCATTTAGGTCATGCATTCTAACCCTACCTTATTCCTGAAGGTTCCACCAGCAGGTAAGTATTATAAACAACCGTCACGTATTGCACACAACCTAAAGCATAAATCTGCTTACGGTCCATCAAGTTGCATACAGTTAATCTAGGATATTATATTTGTGCGCTTTGTCCAACTGTATTGGATAAAATGCAAGGTTGAATACATTTAACTACAACAATTTCCGATAGAATTTTGAGAATGATAAGAGCAGTGCAACCTATAAATTATTGAATAAAATTAGATTACTCAATAGAAATATCAATATCTATGTAAAGTTACACCGAATGCAACCAACAACCAATAAGAAAACATCACTTGGTAAAAGTGAGACCGTGATGACTTCAAAAACTCAAATTTATCTACGCATATTCGGAAGGATTTTTTTTATCTAAAAAAAACTTTTTTCGTAGAAGTTGGAACTCACTTTTGTATCATTATATCATTCACATCTATTCTAAGTTGTTTCGCTGAATTACTGGGAACAGAAGTGGTAGGAGATGTATTCAAAGCTTTAGTCACCGATTCTTTCAAGGTATTACCGCCGAATTCTTTATCTGAAACCGATTGACAATGATAATGATTACGATCATGCAGTTTAACTTGTTTCGTCGGTAGGAATGACAACTTTGTAACTGGAAGTGAAGGTTTATAAATAGCCTGAAAATCAATTTTTTTAGAAAGTGTAACAGGATTAATTATTTATGCATACTCTTGTTGACAATTTTGAAAGGTGGAAATTAACATGCCTAATTCAAGGAAGACAAAAAAGCCGAAAGCATTGCTATATGTAGGTCAAGGGTAACAATAAATATACCATCATCATCATCCATCAACATAGGACTAGGCATTACAGCGTAACGGTCCAAGTTGCCACAACTCATATCACTACATCAAGTAAAAAGGCAGTAAAGTGGAAGATGAAGATAAACAAATTCAGTGAAAAGAAATATAAAGCACCAAAGGAGAGAAAGGAAGAATGAGAAGATGGTGAGATTCGGTATAACGTCGTTAACATGAAGATAATGTGTGTATACATGTGCACCACTGACATTAGTTCTCAGTCATGCCATCCATCACCTAGAGTAGTCAGTCGCCAACCACTCACTTGTTCCTCTTGTCCCACCGACTCCAACTGGCTAGTCGTCTACATCGTCTACATCCACATGGCTCAGACGAACAGTCAGAGACTTCATACATTGATGCCATGTTTTAGTGTGTCACCCCGCCACCGGAGCCTTTTTCCAGTGTGAACGTACTTCGACCAACGTTGTGTGACGAGGCAGACGGTGACTAGTCATACGAAACACATGTCTGAGCCAGTCATCTCAGTCGATGAAGGTTCACTCACAGGCGTGTCAACTGACTTACTTACCTCTTCTGTCTAAAACTCTACACTTGAGCCTGACTTCTGCGTTACTCACGTGGTGGTGACACCACATGAGTAAGATATAATACTTTACCAAATCCAAGATTCAGACGATTTTCAAGAGTTGGAAGAACTCTGTCAACGAAATTACATTCCTATTACGGATGATAACTTAATGATTGAAACAAATTAAGTATTCACGGAAAGGAAACGCTTTTAGCCACCTTGTACACATATGTGGAGTAGGCAATGAGCTACACCTATTGTGTGTGTGATACTTTCTGGCTGCCTAAACCTCGATAGGTAGAGCGGAGATTGAACCTGTGACCCAATGGCTGATAGTCATCTCCCTAGACCACTTAGCCGCAGCTCCACTAGTGTTCACGGACAAAACGTCTAACTATTGTAATCAGTCTTTGGTTACAACAGATAAATAATCCACAAACAGTAAGCACGTGAAAAGGTTAGTCTAAGGATAAGGAGCTCATCTTCAAAACATAGGGAGAATAATTTATAGCTTCTAAAGGATCAGATACTCAAAGATATCCCACATTTCATTACCTTTATATAAGTTTATCAGTAGGGCATTCATAAAAGCAAAACTACTGATTTGCTTAACGTCATCTGCCTGTTTTGATGATAACTGTTTCCAGTAAGTGTAAAAATAAAATCCCCATAAACCTTAAACTACATTACTGTATAGTGCTTATAAGTGACATGCTTCTAGATGGATATCACGAAGTTTTAATAAGTAGCTGTGACCTATGGCGGCAACTAGTCAGAAGTGAAGTGGATGTCAACTGAATAACTTAGTGGATAGTTGCGCTATATTGCGAATTGACAGAAGCAGGACACTGTGGACCATTGAACTCCCACCCAGTGGCTTAATGGTGAAAGCGTTAGCCATGAAACCTGAAGGTCCTGAGTTCATGGGTGCGTACTGATGATGAGTCACATACTGAGTGGTTCTCTAACTGGTGTCGTGATGAAAACTACCTTAAGAATAAATCCTCATAAACTTTAAACGCCAAGCATGGATTTCATCATACATAGAAATCAGTCCAGTGATTAGAGAAAAAATTAGAATACTAGTAATACTATCTGGAAGTTTGTGGAGATTTATTAACTGATTTTATGTTAGAATTCATCATGGATTGACATCAGTTGAAGAACCACTGAAGACATAGGGACGCTGGACAGCTGTTTCGTCCTAGTACGAGACCCCTCAGTAGTGAGCACCCAGGTCCCCGACTCTGAAGGGATCGAACCAAGGACCTTCCGGTTCCGCAACCAGCACTTTACCATTGAACCACCCACTGGGTCTGAATCTAATAATCCATATTTTTTACTTCTGTCAGTTCATGATATAGCGCGACCTATATCCAATCTCGTCGTTGAGTAACTGTCCTCAAGTTCAACTCCACTGGTCACGACTTCTCAAGGGAACTTCCGGAATCACCTCTCGAAGCAAGTAACCAATGAGCGCTAGATTAATTCTACCTGGAGATTTGAGTAGATTTATTAATTGGTTTTAGGTTGGAATTCATCATGGACTGGCATCAGGTGGAGGAACACTGGGAACCTGAGAGCACCGGACAGCTGCTGAGGAGTTCCATACTAGGATGGAACAGATATCCGGTGCTCCAAGGTTTTCAATAGCTCCCCAAATGATGCCAGTCCATGATGAATACAACCTTAATCCCAATCATTCTTATTTGTTTGGATTTTTTACCATTAAAATATGTAGAACCTTACAAATGACCGTTCATCGCTTTGACAGCATTCGAATTCTTTCTAAAATATACAAAAACATTTGTCTTTCTGACTAACAAACTTGAAACTACAGTTGTATTGTGCTCCCTCACCTCAATGATTTGATCGTGAAACTTTCACTGTCATTCTAGACAACATCATGAGCACAAAACTTAGAAAAACATGAGCTGTGCGGAATTTTCTGAATAGTTCTCAGTTACATTTTAGACTATAGAAGACTGAGCGGTGAATGAAAATCAACATTCTGTATCAAGTTCTAAATTTGCTGAGAACTTTAGAAATTGAGTTGTCATTAAGAATTTCAATTGAATGTTGACTACAACCTACCCTTCAATCTTCTTTACTGATAAGTATTTTATTCCACTCTTTAAATAACACTCAAGAGTAATTGATTTCTCTCCTACACGTGAAGGTATGCTTGTGCTCATTACGAGTGGCTATTACAAGCCTATCATACGTGTACTCATTCTGTATGATCTCTAAAAATCTTAACATTTTGTTATTTATACTATGTGACGATTGAAGATGAGATGAAAACTGGACTGCTGCCGGATTCGAACCAGCGACCATGGGGTTACCGGTCAGGTGCTCTACCAACTGAGCTACGAGGTCCAACCGCTAACCAGATTTTTATTATACTTCACTCGTTTTGTTCTTTTTCACTCAGTATTTTTTCTTTAAAGGTTTTCTCTTCATTTCTACTTTTGGTGCTGCTGTAAATGATGCTTACCTGAAATGATCCACCTTTATGCAAGTTACTACATTGGTCGGTTTACCTGACAAGCTGGTGTCATTGATATACACAAATGAAAACCTTAGACAACTGAAAAAGTTATCTCATACCCTGTTAAGAAACAGGTAAATGAGCTTTCAATTCGTATTATGACACATCAGGTTGAATAACAACGATTTTACAATCAACATTTGATAATTGTCATTCATCAACATTAAGCTTAACAGGATTGTAGAAATGACAATAACAGTAAGTGATAGTTAGATGGAAATTCTAAAGTACATGTAGTTACCATCAAGAAAACGTACTAATTGCAAGACCTGAAAATTTTAATCTCTAATGTAACATTTTTTAACTCTCCAGCAATTTTCAAACTTAAGTCTGTTGATGATAATAGGTTCCGTCTAATTGATCGATTTGATGGCAGCAATACAATCTGTTTAGATTCTCAGATACGATTAAGTGAATATGCGTAATCTAGTTACTAGACGAACGATGCGACACTCGAAAACTGGCTCAGCTGACACATGAAGATAACAATGTTGGAGTGAAGGTACAACTCATGGACACAACCCCTGTGCTTATATACAATACATGCACCCTCGAAGTGAATACACAGAATAGCATATAAAAAGTGGGAGATTAACCAATAGGTAAGTTGAGCGATACACATGAGGCGGAAAAAGATGCGAAAAGAATTATTCAAATTCTCCGTAAGGTAAATTTATAAAATTTAAGCAGAAAACGTTCATTTTGAAGGATGTAACAACCTCAAACACAATTAAAATAGCATGAATTAACAAATGTTTGGGAAAATGCTTACCTGATCATGGTTTGATTTACGTCCAATTTTCTCTCGATCTGTTCTATGCTTACGGTCAGCTCCTTTCATCTTAAACACTTTAATTTGACAAGCGTATGATTCCAAATGTCGACTAGTGTCATATTCGAAATGGTCCACCTAAAGGATAACACGGAATAAAATCCAAAGGCAAATAAGATAAAACGAAAGATATCCAGTTTTTAAAGTGCAACAGGATTTCTTGATACTGATATCGACTAGCCAGTAACATATTCCAATAAGTAACTTAACTTTCACAATGCACACGCTATTAAAAACAAAGGAATTAGTGCAGTAAACAATCTATCGACAAGGCATCAAAGACATCAAGTAAAATGCAATTTAGGGAAGCAGATAGACAGCTGATCTGTGAAGCCTATACAGACAAATTTGTCTAAAAGAGACATCCATATATCAAATCATAAGGACTCAATAAGTCTCTCCCCAAACAAGGTCAGACAAAATACCACACTGTCTGAGCACTACACGTTAGAGTTTGAACGATCCATATCATGAGATAGAGGTGAAAATCACCAAGAAAAGATATGGACGTTGCTTATTTTTACCACAGTCTAGGATATTAAATGCTGATTGGTCCATTTTACACTTTGAATATGCTATTTTGTTTTCTCTGACCAAGGTCACCTGAGGACATATAAACGACTGAGTTTTCACCTATCATTACTCGGTTGGAGTAAATAAACTTTCAATTTCATCACCTAGTGTTAGCTGAATTTCGAATTGAGAAGTCATTGTTCTATCGTTAATCATATCGTCTCGGAGCGTTGTATCGTTATCTATAGCGTTGGAACTTAACATTAAGTAACCGAGTTACCACTAGGCAGCATCGTTTCAAATACAGGTGGCACAGATGAGGACGTCAAAGCCAGGATAGGAAAGACAGCAAGACAGACCTTCCCTTCATCAATCTGAAAGCAGTGTGGAGATCTACTGCAATGCACTGCACTCAGCATAAAGTGTGAACAGGATCCGGATTTTCAACACTAATTCAGTCAAGTAAGTCAATGATTCTATATGGTTTAGAAACTTGGCGCGTTACGAAAGCATTTCCAAAAAACTACAGACATACATCATCAACAGCTGCCTACGCTGGATACTGAAGATCAAATGGCCAGAAACGATAAGCAACAAGGAACTCTGGCCTGACAATGAACCAACCAAGAACCCATCGCTCAACAAGTATGCAGAAGAAAGTGGAGATAGATTGGGCATATATTGAGATCATTTAGGGATATCACGCACCAGGCCCTCGAGTGGAACCTAAATGGGAAACGACGAGTTGGGCGTCCGAACCGAGGATGACATGGAGGAGATGGTTTGAAGAAGAAATGGAAGCTTCTGAGCAGCCGTGGAACCAGCTTCAAAAGACTGCAGAAAAGAGAGTGAAATAGCGACGTGCTACCGAAGCCTTATGTTCTACTAGGAACCCAAAGTACAAAATAATAACAATAATAAACCAAGTTACCTGTGGCTTAGATACACTGAGTGACATAAATTCTGATTATAGTTGAATTTTTGATCAAAATAAACTGAAATCATACGGCGAGATATAATAAGCCCAATAGAAGTAACAAACAAATAGACAACCGAGAATAATCAAGCATATTGACCTACCTGAAATTTAAAAGGAATGCCTTTCTCTCCACCATGTTTTTTAGCAGTGAACTCAGTACTGACACAATTAAATCGTAGACCAACAGTGCACGTAGGGTATTTCCAAACGCATAGTAACACATCTGATGATGTATTTCCCAAAACGAGTTCTTCATAATCGTTTGATTTTTCATAATCTTAAGGTTGAATTATGAAAAATATTTAGTGAAAGTGGAGAAAAAAATAATTTAGTTTGAAAAAAATCTATTTAGCCTACTGTTGACGTTATGATGTTAGTGTGTATGGAGTAGAATAAACTGTTAAGGCATACTTGCAACAGTTAAACACCCTAAATCTATCCTGTTAGCCAAATGAGGACAGTAAACTAGTGGTAGACTGACAATTTTATTACACTTGAACAAGCTGTTCGCTACACCTGCATATACCCAGTGGAAAGTCACTTTAAGTCAGAAGACTTTTATTCTTTGTAATAATAACAATATAATTTTCGATAACGCTATCAGAAGACGAAGATTATCTGAAAAATGTGATGTATTTGCGCAATATATTTCGAACAATCTGACCACACATTTACTTGTCAAGTTAATTTATATGTGTATGGGCACACATACATAGGGAGGAGTAATCGTTCAATGCAGACTAGGGTGGGTGAACACATACTCAAATGGCTAGAAAAACAGTTTCACACACAAACTTTGATAAGTGCAGGTGACAGACATCCATCGTCATCTATAGCGAAATATATCATTGAAATGAATTACAGGGTTAATACAAAAACAGTCTTTAAGATATTATTATACAGGAATAATCAGGGGCGCACACTCAAGTTTGCCGAAGCGTTAGTCATTTGTAAACTTAAGCCCCCGCTGTGCGTACAAAAACAATTTGTTGTTTCACTTAATTTACCTTGGTAATCCTTATCTGATTATATTACCAAGACAAGTGTTACAACCTTTTCACTTTTCAAGTTGTTATTCATCGAAGATTGACTTTTATTATATTTGACCTTTAATTTTCATATATAAATTGACTTGACAAGTGTGTGATCAGGTTGTTCGGAATGTATTGTGCAAATACACCAAATAACAGTAGAAACTGCGATCTCACGCCCTAGGTTGTTTAACAACAAAATATGTAAGGTACGCTCAATAAAAAGTGACAATGACAATTCCAATATGGCTGCCGGTTGATTCATTACGCCCATTAATCAGATGACTACAAATATGCAGAACACAGACAAACTTAGGAAACTACTTATCAGTAGTTAAATCAATAACACTAAATAAATGCTACACAAGAATGCTAAAGTGTTCTTAGATGATTGGCGGACAAGTCAACGTAAACTGTATCAAATAAGTGCATCAGTCCAAGTTGCTACATGTCACAGCAATATGTAAAAGAAGGGCATACAGCGAAAAATGCCATGAAAGCTAACAAGACCGTATGAAAGGAGAGAGAGAAAATAGATGGAAGTTAACGAAATCAATCAAGAATTCGAAGATGACAAAGATTGTGTACATCCACGCAGTTTTGAACAAATTCGAACTATATCACCAAGAGTCTCTAGCCACTTATTGTCCCAGTTTCGAAGACCCCAGGTGGTCAACTTACAACTCCTCACACGTCTCAGATTGACAGTCAAAGACTTCATTGAATGATACCATATGTCGGTTTACCCACCCTCAGTTTTCTTCAAACAGAACCCGACTTCGGCTGACATCGCAGGTCACGGTAGGTGGTGGCTCAGTAGGTGCAAAACACCCGATTGCTTAAGTGGCATAATCTAATTGACTAACTTGCCTTCCTTGCCTGGTACTCTACTTTAAACCCTAGGCATTGAGAACACAGTAGTACCATCACAAGTTATCACTAACCGACAACTTATCAAGAGGCCAATAGTCGGAGATCAGAGTGATTTAACAGTCAACACAACAAAGGTACTAATTGGTGCAAAACAAATTAACTATGAAAATAAAGTTTCATTCATCTAACATGATGCAACTGCGAACACTGAATCGGTTCAAGGAAAAATTGAAATTCGACTCTAAAAACACTCTAGGAAGTTGTACATATCCAATGACTCAATTGGAATATGTTGGGAAAAAAGGAGCACAACAAATTAACGTTTTTCAGAATTTTAAATGTACCATCATTCTTAGACTACTAAACTTAGCAAAAGATAGTGAATTTACTCGGTATTTTATCAGAAAGACACTATCTTCACTCTTCTTCAGGCATACAGAAAAACTAGTTATACACATCGGCATCATCATCGAAAAAGAAACAGGCATGCTACATAACGGTTTAAGCTGCCACACCTCTTTTCAGTACATCAGGCGAGGAAGGATTAACACGAAAGATAAAAAAAATGGAGAAGAAAGCAGTTAAGTGTGTTAGAAAGTCGTGATAAGATAACAAGGAGGAATATGAAAATACTGAATTCAATATGACGATTAAGATGAGGATAATGTGTGGATACATCTGCTTAATTGAAATCAATTCTCAATCACGTTACCTAGAGTCTCCAGCCACACGTTTCTGAAGTCAAGAGGAGCCTAACCGGGAATTATAAACACCTAGTTGAACTAAAATCTAACCCATTATGCTAAGGTTTCATTCTGATTCATAACTACTCCATGTGTACCATCAACCTTTTACAAGATTGTAATATGACAGTGAAGTTTCATGGAGATGAACCATGAAGGTTAAACATAGTGATCAGCTCATATTGACTTCTAAAACCATTAATATAGCTATTTTCCTCCATTATAACTACCGATCGATATTTGTCACTGCTTCAAAATTTATTCGTTCCACTAGATATGAGTTTCTCCTAAGACTCCAGGCATCCTATTCAAACTTTAAGTCATAAGGTTTAAGAAATTATATGCGGAATATTTCGCTAGTTCAACAGATACAATAAACAGTTACGCCAAGAACAAGTAAGGCTGGTAAGCCCCAGGAGAAATCCAAGTAAATAACTCATACAAAAACTAATCAAGCTCAGCTCCTAAGAGAATAGCTGTATCCATATATAGTGAATATTAACAAACGTAAATAATGACTGACATTCTGAAATGATAGGAAAAAATGTGTGACTCGTCGTGAGCACAATGGAGGTTTGGTGTTTGGCTTAGCTTTGGGATTTTGTTTTGGAAGTATCATCACTAAGCTTGGTGCCATCCATAATAATAAATAAATAAAAAATTAAAGAGGCCAAGGTGTGACAAAAGTCTTTGCTCCAGCTGGATAATACTCACAGTCAGTAAAAAACACAACTTAAACATTTTTGTAATATGCTTTGCTTCTTTATGAAGTTAGTGCGGAGAATGTCACAAAGCCTGGTGCTGAGATGTCTATAGCGAAAGAAAAAAGTTCGGAGCATAGCGAACCGTCACTATAATTAAGCGATATACAACATAATAGGCAAAAATGAAAAATGTTAGTTCCTACTTTGTTTTCGGTGTAAAATACTGTACAATGTGCGAAATGTTGTAACAGTGACTGCTGTTTAGTGTTGTGATTCATGAAAACATGGGGTTGGCTAAGTGGCTTACAGGATCAACTCAATTACTGACTTATCGCCTCGAATCTTAACAGTTTGGTTAAACCAGCATAAAAATGGTTGGCCCACCAGATATACTTCATGGCGCAGCAAACAGATAAACAAAAACAAGGTAAAACCTTGCACACAAGTGCATCGGTTTAAGTAATACACCCGACATCAGTTTACAAAGAACAAGTGTATAGGAAAAGAGTAACATCAAAATGGATAGAGTTGTGTGATAGAATAAAAAATCTGAAGATAAAGATTAGCACAAATAATTAAACTTTAGACGTCAAAGAGTGCATACATCTGCACCAATGTGAGCGATTTTCAGCCATTACACTGAGAATCCTTAACCACCAATTTCTTTAGTCTCAGGGACCTCATCCAGAAAGTCTATATCTCCCCACACGGCATAGAACAAGAGTCAGAGACTACATAAGTCCGTGGAAGCATATCTGCCTTTTATTGAGTTATTTTAATTTCAACCACCGAACCACTGTTTCAAATGATTTTGTTTACTTGGGTCCAAATAGTCAGAAACCCTTCCAGGTGTAATAAAATGGATGTGGTTCCATGTCTGCTAACGGAAACTGCACGTGATTAATAGATACTTGCGCTAGGCTATGAGCTACACCTAATTTTTAATAGCTTACTATTCGGATGCCCAGAGTAAAGTAGTTAGACAAAATTCTGAACTTATGAATACCAAATATGTACAGAGGGAGAGTGGATGAGCCATTGTCCCGTAAGTGAATGATGACGACATAGTTACTATTTGCAAAAATCTGGACATTAATCTCTAACTATTCTTGAGTTGAAAATGTATTAATGAACTATTATGTCCATGTGATCATGAAGAAACACTACGCGTACACCCAAAATGTTTGACGAAAGGATAGACCATTTTCAAAACTTAGCGATGATAAAAATATGACCAATTACCTTCAAAATTGACTCAATAAACCTCTACAAAGTAAACAATACTGTCATTTCAATGTAAACCATCCATTCTAATTACACTACCTATGTCTAGGAGATGTTCACTTGGGTGTGTTTGGTGCCAATCATTCCAATACTCACGTTCCTTCAACTCCATCTGTTTGTCGTAGAAAGTAACTCGAACACAAGTCTATGAATTGGAATAAAAAGAAGGAACACAACTAAATACACAATATAGGCTTAAGTAACATAGAATCAGATGAAATGATAAACCTAATGAATATCTAGAAAAATTGCAGTTAAATATCAAAAGGTTTACGGAGACTTTCGTCAATCAGCTTCCAATGGAGGCATAGTCAATTAACTACATAACATCCTCCTTTTTGTTCATATTCTGTCGAAAACGCATCATTTGGTAATCAACTGCTTATGGTGCAGATGTATGCAGTAACACCGCTTCCTCCGAGGTATCTATCTGCACTCTTATCTCGTGTGTTGACCTCATCTTGCATTTCTGCTATTTTCTTAGCATCGAACTATAGAGTAGAACTAGAATTCACAATTCTTAATAACTACAGCTAGAATTCCAGGACCGATTTATCAGCGTAGAAGCTGGCACTGGTGTGTAACAGTTCAAGTTGTCACAGCTCAAATCTGAAAATTCAGATGTAAGGCATCGAGACAAAACATAAGGAAATAGAGAACATTGAGATCAGAACTAGAATGATATCTAATAAAAGAAAGTGATAAGGCACAACTAGTTACAAAACGTGATATTGATACTGGGTGATGACTGAAGGTGAAATGAAAATTTGGACCGCAGACGGATTCGAACTAGCGACCACCGCGTTACCGGTCTGATGGCCTACCAACTGAGCCAGGAGGTCCGAATGCTGACTAGATTTTTATTTCACTTCAATCACCAAGGGTTTTGCCCAACTACTATACGAATCCATGACGCGTTACTACCGCTTGATCGTACTCACACTGGCTGCCTAGTCAGGACTTCTCATCCAAATCCAAATATAACTGAATTAGAGAGGTGGAGCATCATATTGATTATCATTTTGACTATCTGAAATAGCCGTTGTTTGGTAGACAAGTATTTATACTGCGTGATGACTGAAGGTGAAATTAAAATTAGGAGCGCGGTCGGATTAGAACCAACGACCACATAGTTTCCGGTCCGATACTATACCAACTGAGCTACGAGGTCCGACTGCTGATCAGAATTCTTTTCATTTCAACTTCAATCATCACCCAGTACCAATAATAGTCTGCCAAACCACGGCTATCTCAGATAGCCAGAGCGAAAATGTGATATTACCACTAGAATGTAAGTAATGTATAAACGCATTTGTACCACTAAGATCAACTCTGAGACATTCCGTAGGCCTGAAATGAAGTCTTCACATCCTTACACAGCTCAGATCAACTGTCAATGAAGTTATAGTTTGTTGCCATGTTTTGATGTGGTCACTTCAAACCTTTTCGCAGCCTGAACCAACGTAAGATAACATGGTAACGACGGAGCAGAAGGTGACTGAGAATGTGCAGCACATATTCCACCTACTTGAGTCGATGAAGGTTCACAATCTCATCATCTGTGCACCTGACTTCTGTGTTATAAATGTGCTGCTACTAAGACATATGGCTTTTGCTACAAAGAAAACAGTATGCAAGTAATCGACGCCACGCCATTGGTCTCCTTCACCCCTATTTATTATATTTCATAGACATGACAGCAGGACACAGCAAACTGGTGCTCAATGCACTTGACCTTCGATAAATGACCAGATGTCTTGCACGTATAATGAATGTCATAATTTAGCGGGAGCAAATTAAGATTTTTGTATCGATGCAGGGTTTCCGTCGATGACTGACCTACCAGGAACAATCTAACTCAGCGAATTGGTTATCGTGCTCAGTCATTTTACTTTTTACTATCAAACGAGGTATCAAGGTATACTAATGATGAAGCGACCATTTGCATCTAATCAAAAAGAAACGCATTCCGAACATTTCCCAACTGCCACTCAGTGTCCAGAAGACTGCATCCTTTGTGTTTTTACGCAACAGGATTTTCATCTACTTACTCTATGTTTATTAAGGAGTCTCTTATGACAACACCAAACTACTTTAATTCAGATGAGGAAAAGACTTCCGTAAGCACGTCTATGACAAAATTAAATAATAATGGAGAACGGATATCAACGTCAACAACCCACCACAGACTCCAATAGGTTCAAGGGTGCTCGAATACGGCGTCATGTATTTACTTGGAACGCTTCCCAGTGAGAGACTGCTATAGGACCTTAAGAACAACACATAGAGTCAAACACGTCCTTCAATTCAACAAACGCATCTAGTGTCAAACGTAAGTGTGTATGCGTTTCAGAACCTGATAGAGGATGGAGATATCGTCAATACACCTAGCATTCGATCTGAAAACTGGCTGGTTTTCACAGGTTTGCTGTTCCCAAACTTTTCTTAGAATCACAGGATCTCTCCTTCCTAAGACAGAGAGAACCAACGCAGAACCTCGCACACAAGTATATCGATTCAAGTTGCCACACCCTCCTTCCTTAAGACAGGGACAGTGTATGCTTGAAACCAGTTACAGAGGATTACATCTGATTCTCATACTGACAAATGAAATTAGACATGTCCTTCATCATGATTAATACAGAATTATTAATTTATCGAGGCTTATAATACTATCCAGTAACCCAGGTCTATGTACTTGGTGCAGGATTCGAATGCACGAAAAATCACTTGAAAGTTGAGTCAATGCGCCACAGGCATATTTCCCCGTGATATGGTATAGATGAGGACACATCATAGAAAAAGCTGACCAATAAACAGTGGTTGAGCTGAAAAGTAACCATTCATGATCTTTACTAGTAGAAGTTGTCTAGGGTACAGAGACTGTTTTATAGTGCTGAATGATAGGGAAAATCTTGATGGACAGCTTAATGTTTATTTGAATCAGTTAGGTTAAATTAGGTCAACCATTTTATGATGGTAATACTTTTATAACACATGATGCACTTTCACATAATACATCCGTCTTCACAGACATATGTCAGCCTTTATCTCCTGATATTTCCTCAGCTCTTCAGAATACAAGGTACTGTTGGAGAGAGAACAATAGCTGATCGTGAGCAGTTTGTATATTTTAATGCATTCAATATCCGTATTCTTCACTTGATTCATGTAGTACACTAATAAATTATTATCTTTAATCACCTGGTGCCAGCAAGATTTTTAGATTCAGATTTCCTAACGGTAAACGTAGGCGCTCAAAAAAAAATTAGCAATCCAAATTCAATCGCAACCTGAATAGATCTAACTACAGTACTATAAGAAGCGGATTCGAACCTCTGGAGGTATTAACCACGATAATGTTGCAGGTATGCCCTAATGATGAACGTATTCAAACAAGATAGCTAAATCCAAAACTCCCTGTAGATTGCCTCAAATTAACCTTCAATTCGATTTTACAACCAGAACTTGGTTGAACAGATTTATATCATGAACACAAGTGTAGTTCAATTTATTTTTTCTATTTTTCACACTAGTGTAAGTGATATAAATGAACACTTAAAATCGATTTGAACATTCTGTGGAAAAACAAAACAAAAAGACAACAGAAAACGCAAAGTATATTCTTCTGAAAGATGGAAATTGAACAAATTTCTCTATATAAAACTTATAAACTACCTTGATAAACATTATCTCTGAAGTTTTTGCATCCAGTTTAAGTTCATACGTTTGTCCTGTAAATAATAAGAATAATGGTCATACTAATACTATTTCGAATAAGAATAATAATGTGTGCAAGCATTAATAATCAAAATCATTGATGTTTTTAAAAAAGCTGCCTACTCTTGGCTCTCATCTTTTTCAAAGAAGGACATTTTTATCCACTTAACACTTCAAAGAAATAATACATCGGAATAAAGATTTCCTTATCCATAGCAATAATTGATACTACCAATCAATCTTCGATATATTATGCTAAGGGAAGTTGGATTAGGTAGAAAGAGGGTTCAGGGTAGCCAGACCAAGACGTAGCAAAAGTCAATGAAGTCTCTTACTGTTCGTGCGCGTCGTGTGACGAGATGTAGACTACCTGGTTTGGGTCTCCGAGACGAAAGGAATCAGTGGTTGAGAACGCTTGGCGACATAGCTGAAAGTCGGTCACACTGGCATAGATACATTCAATCCCTGACATCTTCTGAAGCTTGAATATTTGTACTAACCTTTATCTTCAAACTGCTTCTTCTCTCACACAACTCTGTCTACTTTGATATCATCCCTTTCCTGTCCATTTGTTCTTTGTGTACTACTGTGAAGTGTGACAACTTGAACACGTGTGTGCGAGGTTCTACGTCGAAACTGTCTGTTAGTCAGTCAATCAGTCATCTAATCACTAAGTTAATTCTAAGTAGGCTCTCTTCACATCAAATCAACACGTAAATATAGCAATTATCATTGAGATTTTAAAATGACGCTTGTTTCGTTGTATTTCAGATTCATGAGTTAGATACTTTTACATCTTTTTGAGTGTCAGTGTTCCCAGATAGACAAATCAACCTGAAAACTTGGCGAATAAGTGTATCAACGTAAGTTACCACACTTTACAGAAGTAGTAAAAAAGAATTGGTTAGAAAAAGTAAGACAAAGGCAGACAAAAGTGTATGAGAAAATAGAGGGAATAAAAAGACTGAAGTTAACCAAAATATTCACGACTTATAAAATGATATGCCACTGACAGTCACCATCAATAATTTAACTCAAACATGTTGCGATTAGCAGAAATATAGTTGCTACGTAAGCATTTCGCTTCATTATTTGCCAACCTCATCGTTTCTATGCTTGGTCTGAACGGATTTCATCCTTGCCTAACTTACTAAATGAAGTGAAATTTAATAATTCTCATATTTTCTACTTTCTACTCTTTATTGTTAGGAGTGTTGGAAGGCCTCAGTCTTGAATAAAACATTGTTATTGATCTGAACACTTTTAGCTTATCAGTCTTACACAATTTCTACATGTTGGCTAGTTTTTTTTCCTGCCTACATTGTAATGTAATTCCCCGATTACGTAATCCTTACTCTTACTATGTTAATGTCTCAATTTGCAGACAAGATCATATCTCATGTGTATACGTACTTGTGTTTTTGAACTAACTGAATATTATTTCTCAGGGGAATAAATTCTCCCATCCAGTTTCGGTTTTCTTCTCTATTAGTCACTGGTTGTGGTTGGTGGCTCTTGCGTTCGAAGTTAGCTGTCAGTTAAGCGTGCGTATTATATCCGTTCGCAATATATAACAAATACATTTAAGATGTAGATTTTTCTGACAACCTCACCCACAGTTATAAATTACACTCAATACATTTTGAAACGCGTTTCCTGAATTACACAACCATGTCACTACAGAATAAAAATCTCTACACGTTTAAAATTAATTTTTAATTCGATCTTAACCAGATGGCGATTATTTTCTCAAAAGTGATTTCATCCGATAAATGATCATGATTTTCTAAGTCAATCTTCTAAGTACAAATAGGTTATCTGGGCTCGAATAATCAGGTTCCAATAAATAACAGTTTTACTCCAACAGAAATGTCTCTTGGCTACACCAAAACATCGTCTTTTAAACAGAGGAATCAACCAATCAGTTTCTTTCCATTTTTCTTTCTAAATTAATTAGATGGGAAAAGTATGCCGGCAAATAAACGTCAACCATCCTCTAGTATCACGCAACTTGTCCTTTTCCAAGCTTTGATCTATGGTGACCTTAAAGGCCAATCTAACAACTATCGAAGTAATCAATCAAGTTTCGGTATTCCGGCTAGAAAGGCAGTTGCTGGGATGGCCTTTAGAATTACTGTTTGACCCGTCTGTCTAAGCACCTGATTACATTGTCGTATCATTCTCAATATTCGTATCACTAACTTTACCATTTTAAAGTACACAATCCGTATCCTTGTTATCGTTGACTCACAGATTAACTTGATTGGTAGGTATTTTATAAATCTGTTGAAAGTCATGTATGTCAGAGTGAAGCCTGATGAGATCTAATTGAAAACAACATTGTTCACTTACGTCTTGTTATAATAGAACAGTGTCTCTGTGTACTTCAACCCTTAAACTTCAAGAGAGTAGATCAACCCTTGTGAAGTAAGACGTAACTAAGGCAAATAACATAGTCCCGTTAGGCGAAGATGCTGACTAGATGCAGAATCTTCTGAACACTTTCGGTAGAAATTTGAGAATGTTTAGGATGTGTTTCTCGCCACCCACATGCAAATTGTTGCTCCTGGACTGCTTTGCGTTGGTGTCTTGTCTGGAAATAGGGAGTGAGATGGTTGAACGCGTTGACCACTTCACGGACCTGGGAAGTCAAATCAGCCTTGACCGACGAAATCTCAGCATGGACACAAAACGCCTAGATTGCATTTCGACAACTTACACCATCTGTGGCACTGCCATGATATCTGATTGCTTACTAAGGGTCGAGTGTACTGCAACGCAGTTCTTTCTCTCCCACTCTATGCCTGTGAAACATGACCATTAAAGGTAGAGGATATGAGAAGGCATCAACCGCCGTTGTCTTTGTATCATAGACTATGTGTCGTGGTGTCACGAGGTAAGTAATGACGAAATCAGATGTAGAGTCAGTTGAAAGGTCAGTTAATGAAGTGAACCTTTATCACCTTAAGTGGCTGGGACATGTGTTACGCATGCTTAGTCACTGTCTGCCTCGTCCTATAATGTTAGTTGAAACAGGTTCAGGATGGAAGAGGATTAGAGGTGACCAAACGAAAAGATGGCATTAATGCATAAAGTCTTTGACTGTTGGTCCGAGGCGTGTGAGGAGATGCAGACTACCTGGTTAAGGTCCGCGAGACTATAGAAACCAGTGGTAGACGACCTTTGGTGACATGGCTGAAAATCGGTAACACTGGCGCATATTAATCCATACATTATCTCCGCGTTAATCGTCATACCCAATTCAGAATTTTCTCATTCCTCCTTTGCCTCGTTTGACTACTCTTGACCGATTCTTCTTTATTTCTTTGTTTTTATTCTAATGCCTTCCGCTTGGTACGGGGATATGAGGTGTGGGATTTTGGACCATTGCGCAGCAATGCGAGGTCATATATTGGTTTTGTCTCTTTTAATTAAAATGAGAGTAAAGTGAATGAAACAGTTAAAAATGTTTTTGAATGAGGATATGGGTGATGAGAGTTCCAATCTCTTAGGAGACATCAATTTGCTTGAAGTTGAAGATATACCTTGCTGATGAGTGCCGATGAGTACGCAACCCAGGTTCAGGGCTTCCCCCGCTGATTGACTCCAATCAAACAGCAGAAAAATTATTGTTGAGAAACAGATAATCAGATGACACAGATTTTTAACTGAAAAGATAATGGTCAAGCAACTGATGCATCTGCAAGTAAAAACCATTAAACAAATAAAGTACAAAATGACCAAAATAATGAATTATAACCCTTACCTTGATTCAAGTAAGTTAAAGATGCTTCGCTAAGACGAGTCACTGACGAAGTTGGCGCCTTTAAAATGTTATCGAATAAGTGAGAGTTGGTATCAGCAGTGGATACAAAAATATCACTGAAGAGGATATAAAAGAGACAATTTATTTACATGCTAAACAAATTTAACTTATTTTTAGGCTTTTGTCCCACAATGCAATAAAAGTCGAAAATTGGATGAACGCAAGATGGTTACATAATGGTATATTTCGCCGAAGACACAACCTGAACAGAATTCCTTTATAACTAAAAGCCAGACATAGAATAAATCAAACATATAACCCTTAGGAGAGAATTTTATCTGACAAAATCGAAATGCTGTAGGCAACCTTGTGCACATCCATGCAGTAAGCAATGGGCGACACCTATTGTGCGGAGGCTAATGATACTACATCGTTCCCGACACCTGGGTAAATGGAACGGTGTTCGAACCCATGACCCACTGGCTGAAAGTCAACTGCCTAAACCAATGTACCATAGCTCCACGTCTGATAACGTGCTATATCATAACAATGATTTGAAAATTAGAGTCAACAAAGCGCATTACGTTGCATATTTCTAGGATTAATTTTATGCAAACCGATCATAAATATAATCCAATAACCATATGCGGCTTTATGCAAGCAATGAGTCACACCTACTGCCCCAAGGTTATTTATAACACTTGGTTGCCTAGACCTCGGTAGACGTAATGAGGTTCGAATTATAACCCACTTGGTTGAAGATAAAGTGAATAATCCAAAAAGCCACAGTTACATAAAGTTGTGCATCCTAATCCTGGGACTGTAAGGCTGAATAAGTACTCCAATAAATAACTGTCTGAATGATGACTGCAACACTGAATAAGCACCTACCAAGACTAACAAGATGGTCACTTTAGGCCAGACCTTCCACATGGAAATCATCATAATTTTAGCACGAAGTGAGAAACAGTATAATATCCCAATAATTCAACTAACTAGGAAACCGCATACCTCTTGCAAACTAACACTTAATCAGCTTAAGGTTTTCAGAATTATTATTGAGATATAATAGATAGGCTTTGAACGCAGTGAGTAGGAGTTCATATCACATCAGACACATAACCAGACCATTTGATAAGTTTGCTACATAGGAACTCGAGGTTACATTCTAAAATTTTACTTCTTGAACTCTTTAAAAATAGAGTGAAGTAATAGGAATTCCTTTAGATGACGTTTCAAACTAAAATGTAGTGTCATTCATGCATTACACATCATCTCACTTTGACTGTTGGTTCCAAGATACATATGTCTACACAGTGCATAGATTCAAAAATTTCACAATAGTATTGGTCTGAAATACCTTTTGTAAAAGTTACATAAGCAAAGTAGTTTCATCATGAAATTCATAATCAAAACATGTCATCAAACTTTAAAATTGGAACAAGCCATACAGCAAACGAAGTTTAAGTTCGTGCAAGGCTGATAATGGATTTGAACTAGAAGGAGAGGTGTGGACGTTATTTCGAACTGAGTATCACCAACTACCGAAGTGTGTACCAGACAGCCTCACTTATTATGAAGGTTGCTAATATTGAGTGGCTATCCGAAGTCTAGTACAAGAACTAACCTTTAAACCGAAGCACCGCCAGTTGAATATCAACAACATAAACCGATAAAAATATGTACACATACTGACAGGTAATCCGTGTCAACACCTATCAAGGAGGCAACTAATATGATGCTGATTTTTTTATAAAGGTACCAAAAAATGTCTTAACATCAGGATATTGCAATAATAATGACAAAGAAAACTTACACATTTTGTACTGAGTTACTGGATAAAATAGAAAGTTTCGATCCATCTTCAGGTTTAGAATCGTCTGTGAGTTTACCTTCTTCACTACAGAGTGGCAAAGCTGATAACGCATCACTATATGAAAAGAAATGAAGTGACGACAACAGAAGAAACGATTTTTATACTTGCAGTTATGGAAAAGTATAAAAACACAAACTCGTAAATATAATTGGTACCTCAACACTAGTTTATACTAACTTTCAGTTAAAAGTGACTCAGTGAATTGGTGGAATGTACTGATCACTTTACAAACTGTATAAGCCCAAACGAGTTGGTTTCCGATGAAATTTCAGCTCGGATTCGAAAAGCTCGTTTAGCATTCAGCAAAAAAACTTCTGGTGTCAATGACACTTCCTAATACATATCAAAGAAAGAGTATATTCCAGAGCAGTCCTCTCTCCTATTGTACAACTTTGAAATAAGGTCTCTGAAAGTAGATATAAAGACGGTATAGGTTCCTGACGATAGTTACCTTCGTAACCTTGCTCATGTGTGGTGAAATCATAGTATGAGTAATGTTGAGGTTAGGCACACCGATGATCAAAAAGAATAATGAAACTCATCGACATCTCTTCGTAATCTTTACTCACGCACCCACTGACTGCAGTTTGGGTGAAGTGAAAGGTGAGCTCTATCGAAAACCATCTAGCCTCCTACTGAAAGCCAAACTTTCAGATATGGTTTTCGTAGATGATTTTAGTGTACAGGTGAGTAGGCTAAGTCACACAAAAGACACTTAGGTGGCAGTTTTTGAATCTCAGTTAAACAAGCGAATAACGATGATAACCTCCTTTAACTAGGCTTAGATAACCCTTATCACCAACAAGAATTACAGACAAAGACAGAGGTGTTGTCTAGCGTGACATCCACCGATCTCAACTTAACAATGGACACGGACAGACCATATCATTGTTAGTTATCGCTGGAAGTAGTTGGAAAATTACCATTTCGTCCGTAGCATGTGCTTAGACAATGGTCATGCTATATCTGGGCTGAAATGAACGCGGGGAAATTAAAAATTGAAGACTGTTCCGAGAACAGCTTGACGATTAGAACACTAAGGTTGCTTTCGAAAAATAACTGGTTAGAAGGTCACCGAAACATGACATTACTTGCCGTGAAGAGGCTTGGCGTCATCTCCAGCCTGCTAGAAAAACAACATTGAAGACGGTAACTGATCATCGAGAAAGGTTAGACAGCACCTACAAGTCTTAGCATCTTCTGAAATAACACATGCATGTGAACACATCCGCAGAGGCTCTAAGAACAATGAAGAGAAAACGACTGAAATATGCTGACAGACAGCTTACGTAATAGTTGTGAGCTGTTCTGGATATCGAAGGTTTAAAAGATGTAAAAAAAAACAACGGCGACAGCAAACAGTAGATAGTTTATTTAGAGTGGTCAAGAAAACTAAGGCAAGAAGGCGATGGTTAGTGAGAACATAGAAGAGAAGGATGGATCCGCGATTCACTCACAAGGGTGACGACTAAAAAGATGGACGGAACACTTTGAGGAACAGTGCGACTAGCCTTCAGTTACTATTCTGTTCAACACTGTCCACTCAGATTGTGAATGGAACATTAAGACACGGCCTCTAACTCTTCACGAAAGAAAAGAAATTGTATTCTGATAATTATAGAGTACCAATCTGGAGGATATTGTATCTAAGATTTCAAGTTTTATAGTCACTAGACGCTCAAGTGAAACATGAGAACAGAAAACCCCTTAAAAATCATTTTTAGACCCAGTAGTGCGTGAATCGACCAGATCTACCTTCATGACTTGGAATGGAAGTATACTTATAGGAACCCAGCAATACGTTGTTCAGTGGTCTTCTTAATTATATGGCTGTTAAACATGCCTATCAAAGGTAGGTAACACGAGAAAGCTTCAGGCGTTTCATAACTTCTACCTTCGTAGCATAAGCTATATTGTGGAACCACCAGGTTAGTAAAGCAGTCAGACACAGTCTTGGATAAATCAATTAAATCAACTGATGAGATCGAAAGCTTTCATCGACTCATGCAGCCAGGAAACGTGTTAAGCATGCCTAGAAACGCAATTGTTAGAAACAAGCTTATTACAAAAAGGGCCTGAAGACACGCATCCTACAAAGTAATGCAATAACACTAAGGAAAAAACGTGGTACATACATGAGAAAAAAACGCAAACCAAAGCAGAAATGAGTTATTAAAAGCAGTTTCAAGGATGCGTTTGAAGAAGTATTCTCGATTTTTACCTTGCTTTTCTACATTACGAAAAATACGGACGTTGCAGTATGATCGCCTTTGGCTTCGATCCTAAGCCATGTACGCTATCGTTTTAAGCCACTGATTTGTGTGATCTCTTAATCTTCATATAAGGAGCTAACAGTCATCCAAAGGTTCTAACCCAGCAACGCCGGCTGCGTCAAGCATGCATAGGTGAATCTTTGCCGGTTCATAATCTTCAACCTGATCTTTGTGTTTAAAAAGATTACGTATACTTATTAGCCTTGTCATAGTCAGAGTAATAATTTCGTGCCTATTAAATTTCTCTTACCATCCTATTATACTTTTTGGCTACGCAGTTTTCGATTTTTAATGCTTTGCTGTTTTGTTCTTTTTCGTCTAGTGATCTATTTTCATGCTTTTTAAGTAATGTCTCTTTTCAATTTTAGCTTCTACATCTATCCTACTATTACAGATTATTCGTAGTGCCTAACAACCTTCTAGAAGACTTAACCATTACGTCATATATTTAAATTAATTTTGTTAAGTACACATACAGCTGCATAGCTTCCCTGAAAATGAGATCACCTAAAAGAAAATGTTCATTTCTGTTACATTTTTGCTCTATAGCTATTCTTCATCCCACGCTGCCAAGTAGAACGCTGACCAAATCTCCACTTCTTCCAGTCAGTCCCAGAGAGAGTGAAGGGTGAACGATATCATAGCAGCTGGGAGGGCATTCGCAACACATGTCCAAACCACCAAGGTTGGAGTCTTGAGATTATCTCATTCAATGAATGACAATCTTTGTCATGCGCAAACACACTGCTTCACTTCAGAAATGCTTACATGATGTCTCCAATGGATGCTAGTAATCCCGTTGAAACAATGGTGATCGAGTGCGGAGTCGCCCGACATCTGAGACTCGGAGGGGCCAATTTTCACAAACGCAGAGTAGAACTGACTACACCAACGCGTTGCATGTCCAAACTTTTAAAGATAGAATGAAAAAGCCAAATGCTCTTAATAATGGCATTCACATACGCATAGCAGGCAGTGAAAAACGCCTATTGCGCAAAGGCTAGTGATACGAACTGGTTACGGAAACCGCGGTAGGTGGAGCGGGTTTCGAACCTGTGACGTATTTGCTGAAAATCAATTATCTAAACCAAGGAGCCACAGCTCTACAACATGCGGTTGGAAATATTATGCCACATCTCTATCAGCTCTCAGACAACTATCTAGGTAATCAAACTTTTCGACAACCGAGTTCACCTCCAAGAATGAGTGCAGATACAGGCTACCCCTCATGTCGAAGAGGTACTTTGCAATCCAATAGTGCGGAACATACCATACTTATAGACACTGATTGCTAACCACCAATTAAATAACCTGTGTCCTTGCTCAGTAAAACGATACCATCCGCATAGTCAAGGTAGAAAAGTCTTTCAGCTAACAGATCCACATTACCACATACCTCCTTTGTGGTTGTCTTCAGAAGGGCAATGACGACAACGGCGCAATTTTAGGTGGATTAACTCAATGCTGAGAAAATTTATGGATGACCAAACATAAACGGAGCATTAGTTCATCACTTCTCTGACTTTGCTCCAAGCAGTGTGAAGAAAGGCAGACATTTCATTTGGGGTTTGTGTAACGACGCAGACCGATGGTTGGAAACTAGACAATATGGCCTGAGCAGTGCAGATGCATTTACACTTTATCTTCATCTTAATTACTACATCTTATCCCTTTAGTTGTTTAGCCACCCACTCCTTTTTGTTAGTGACAGTTTTGACTACATTTCTTTCTTCCTACGTTCTTATCATACATCTTGTTGCCTTGTGTCTTGACGTGTTGAAGTGAGGAGCGTGGTGAATGTGGTCACTATGCCGTAGTATCAGGTCCCAATACTGATACTGACAAACAGTCATACCAAAGCAACTACACAAGTTGAAAATCAGGACCACGTAATCCTAGTCTTTTTTACTTCTTTAAAAGTAATATCAATATCCGGATGTCACTTTATACTCTCCCAAAGACTTATTATGGTGCAAGACGTTACTGAATAAAGCCAGTACTAATAAGTCGATATCAGGAACGTCTTACATAGATGACTCAGTGATGATCTTTGGAATCGGAGAATTCGTGACTACTAAGCAAAGTAATTGAGGGGATGAAAACCAGATACTCAACTCTTACAGTCATCTTGATAAAATACTTTACATTCCTCACAAACCATTATGTTACCTTTTAACGGACTGTTATTATCGAACCCACTTATTACACCATGCTACCAGTAATTTCCTAATCCAAGTGCTGATGTGATGTGTAACAACTAAAAACTTGGTAATCTTAACGCACTGGATCCAAATTCACCTAGATAAAAAACGATCATCAGTATCAAGTCGACAGACTATCCAATTAGCTCGAGGCGAACAACACTGACAAAATATAACTCCAGAAATTGCTAACACGACAGGTTAGTCACCTTTTTGGTTGACATATTTACTCATATTAGTGACATATTCACCACCTGGCTGGCTACTTTAAAGGGGTCTATTGCAAGTAGGCCAAAGTCGGAAAATAAAGAATACCAAATATATTTATTTTCTTGCAAAAAAAAAGACAAAACCTGGTGTCAATAACAAAATAATAGCATTGCGATACCACAATTGGCATTTGGAACTAACGCCAGGCATGCTTAAATGTTTCAGCCTAATCCCACTTTCTAATACTGCAGTAGGCAATGAGTCACACCTAATGTATGAAGGCTAATGACACTCAGGCCGCAGTAAATACACGTCAAGTAAATGAACCGATGAGCCAAATCTGCTTACTACTTACCGCATATTAAACATAGAGCTGACACCTGCTCCGATGCCATTCATGGTGTCGTCAAAGCATGCAGATAAATCGGCTTCATCGAAACTCCATGAAGTATTCTCAGCCATTGTAACCAACTGTCGGCAAATTTCTGTCTACCTTGTAAGTACGTTTACTCAGGGAGTGGCCACAACGAGAATCTGCGTGAGAAAACAGAAGAAAAATGTGAGCAAGACGACTCAGCAGGCACTAATAACCTAGTTATATTCAGTAATAAAAGAGATGAAACTCGAAAATCTCAGTAACCTTGTGCACATTTATGTAGTAAGTAATGAACCACAGCTATTGTGCGAAGGCCAATGATACATGCCAGCCCAAACTTCGGTAGGTGGGTGGTAGGTGTTCGAAACCTATTGTTCGACCTATTGTTTGAAAGTCGACTGCTTAAACGAATGACCCAAAGCTCCAAAACTATAGAGCTACGGACGTCAAAGTAAAGCATTTAATCCTCATTAATCAGCTCGCTCAGTGACGACCATCTATCTTACTTTCACGTATGTAGGAGCTCATGTTGAGTTATTTAACGACATGATCAGGGACTATTTCGTGTATGACCTCATTATTCGTTGATTCAGAAATATTCCACGCACTTGTATTACCCGACGCGAACAGTGTCATGAACAAGAAGCTCACACAGTAATATACTTTAATATTAAAACTCTGATCTCCTGCAGCTTATCGCTTCATTTTAATTAGGCAATGCTCTTTGAGCACTGTGGCAGTAAACTGTGAACGAACATGTCCTTTCATGAGCCCTGTATATCATTTACAACGCCGAATCCTCATCACTATACAACTGCAAAACCATCAGTTGTTAGTAGATATGACCCTTAAAAAACTAAAAATATACGTCAATTCTGCATTTTAAATGATTTTCCCAGTCAACTAACAGCAAGATGCACTGTCAGCGTTAGTTGGTTGTTTCAGAAACGGCACAATCCTAAAACTGCAAGGGTGACCGACCAAAGTTGTCACTGTACAGTGAGAAGAATAAAAAGTTTTGCAATGAAAACTTACAATGGGAAGGGCACGGAAGGTAATGAGAAGCAGGCTACCTAGGTTGTTTAAAGAATTCTAAGAAACTGCTCAAAATGTTACGACCCCTAGTAATAAAACACCCACACACAGAGTAGAACATAAAAAACGAAAATTCACCATAAAGCGGTTATTATTCCAACTTCCCAGTATCATCCACATCGAAATCAGCGATCAAGCATAGTTTAAAGCATGTTACCGAGCATGTCCCTGATGAACTCTAGATGGAAACTCAGGTTTATCTCAGTTAAAATTGGTTCGGTCAACATACATTTGACCTTTAGTAGCAAAACGCTTTTGTGTTTGAGAATTTCAGTGAAGAAGCAACTCGAAACATACCCGAGCATTGTCACTACACCCAATGGAAGAAGCCAACTATCACTTACGTGACCCCGTTACCTTGTTGGCGAAAACAAGCTCTAGTGTGACACAGCTCCTCTGGCATATGCGCATACTTCATATTCTTGTAGCAGTTTCATGCGTACACCAGTACCTGAACACGTTTCGCAGCATGTAATTAAGGTAGTTTGAAAGTGCCCATCAGTAAAATAACGGGTGAAATTCGCTTCAAATATTGTCATTAAAAAGTAAATAAGATAATAGGTCTGACTGCATATTTTACCCGATAGCCTGCGTATGAGGTTGAAAATGCGTCACAACCCCTATGACAATAGTCTTGAAACCAGCGCTAGCAGAACCATTCTTGAAATTCTTACAGACAGAAGTTCAAACGGTTCTTATGGTTATTGTCGGAACAAAAGAAGCTGCTTCCTAACTGGCTACTGAGTCTTCAACCCGTGGATCACTAGTTTCTGTGGTCGTTAAGTTGTTTACATTTAAGAAAAGAGTGTCAAGTAACGCTTAAAATTTGAAAATTCAGTTGGTTTTGAACAAATCCTGCCCACATCTCAAGTAGACAACAAGACGGCATTTAAAAGATTCAGATAAAACAGCCTAGATCAAGTTTGCAGGGAGAGTGTTCCACGTTGTAATAGCTACTAGGGAAAATAACCCAGTCTGCCAAAAAGGGGGAAATTAGGGGGGGAAGTGGTGGGACGTAATGGGGAAAAGTAGACACTGATGTCTATTGAGTATGCATTTACTAACTGAATTCCATCAATAACTTAGCAAGTATGTGTTTGTTTAAGTTCATCACTGATACCTTCTAGGCAACTGTCACGCCAACCCTCATTTCAACATGTATCGTGGAAGTGAGTGGCGTGTGTTTATCAGTATCCCGAATTTAAAGACCCATCTTTCATTGCGAAATTGAGATCTGTATTGCTACAGAAGCGTGTGCATTGTCACCGGTCTATGTTTTACAAAAGATGTAAACGGATTTATAAAGCCATTTCTGAGATCTCCGAGGGGAGTGTAAAGGAGTCTCTTAGGGACATGGAAATGACTCCCGGAACCGGTAAATTAGCCTATTTAACACTAAAAAAATGACCAGGTGTAACTGCAGAACGTCTCAGCCTGACGGATGCGGTTGGTTGCAACCACATTTCCGCTGCCTTAATGAGTGATAGCCGTATTTGAAAACACCAGCTTCTTAAGCACAACATTTAGAAACCGCTGTGCTTTCTGCGCCACTGGAAGACAAGGCGGAATATAGACATGAGCGGATGATGAAGATTGTCACTAGTATGACGCTGCGAAGAAACACAACGCAGGCTGGTGGCGACGTTATTTTGGAGATTATCCCCGACGAACTTCCTCAGTTGTCTAGCAGTGTTCGTAGCGTTTTACGAAGGTGTTCTCCATGCAGACCAAGAAATATATTACCATAGTGGTCTCAAGTGTAGTGCACTCCGTTATGTAGAGCAGCGGCCGGGTTTCATTACTTTCAATGAAGTCAAACTGCAGTTGAACAACGATGGATTATCTCTTTCGAAGAGTTCTAGTCAGCATCTGTGGCCTACATTAGGTAGACCATGTCGTTCACACGTTACTGAAGTCTTCCTAATTGGCGTACCTGGTGAACAGCGTAAGCCATCAGACTTTCATGAACTCTCTGCTGACCTGATGGCTGAGTTATGCCCATTATTGCTGTAGGGAATATATGTGAACAGGTTTGGCAAACACCTACATGTTAAACTGAGTTCAGTCATCTATGGCTCACCAGCCAGATCGGGTGTCCAGTATGCACCAGCGCATAATGGTAGAACAGGCTGTGATAAGTGCATAGCTTCCGGGGCAACAAGCAACTGGATATCCTAGAGGTGTCATTAAAAGATCTCGGTTTTCTAAATGCCTTTGTAGAGACAAATGAGCTCCATATACCTATTTTTCAACTTCAAAAATGTCTGGGGAGGTAATCTTGGATGTCGACGGGTCCATGAGGCATGCGCTAACTGGCTTAATATTGCTGGCAGAAGCTGGTCGTTACACACCCACGGGAACACCTGACAAGCTGGCACTGTGCAAATGTTCTTTCTACAAGGTTGTTTGGTGTAAGGAACTTGTCCGGTGACAACTCACAAACTTTGCTTTAGCCATACTTCTTGAGGAACTCAGTCATCCAGACATAAGAAGGAATGAACTTCTGAAGGAACTGTACGACCTTCGAGATCGCGTTTCCCAGCAAGGCGGACCGAAAAGACTGAAAGTAAGCATTCCCACGTTTACAACAGTGCCTAAATTTTAATGTCTATTTGAACATAAGGAATGGACAGATAATTTATCTTAATGACAGAAACCAGTTGGACGCAACGTGAGACTGATACAAAATATACACTATCAGATTTCCGTGACAAAAAAAGTTTAAATAACATTTCAAATAAATACTAATTATCGTTCTTATACTTCAAATTCTCATCATCGAAAACCATCTGAACTTAAGAAAAACACGCACGAAATTTCTAAGGAAATGTGCATCTCCAAAGCCCAATTTAAAATTCACCTTAAACAAAACTATTGTGCATTCAAAAGTATACTGCAACATAGCAAATGGTACCCAGAGCGCAGCTCATATCGTTTCGATGTATCGTGACCTCGCTGCCAAGTCCCAAATCGTTAACCATTAATCGTACTTCTAGGCGACATTATCAGCACCAACTTCGGTATGAAGTGAGCTGTCAATACCTCTCGGTGAATGTTTTAGTAGCTTGCCTTGACGAGGCGGTCTATAATTGGTTGCTTCCTTCGATTGCTGTGTCATTGACTGTATAGATTTTCCTGTTGGCTGTCCCTCAGCTTGTCCTCTGGCCTTTCTGTCGTTTATCATCCCTCTTATTGCTTGATAGATTGGGTCTGTGTCTATACATCTGTTGATTGCTGACTGACCTGAATGCCAAACTTCTGGGAATTCTCTGATATATTTTGTGTTTCCTCTGTCCAAGATTTCTACATTGTCGAAATTGAATTCATGTCCACAATTATCCACGTGAATTGAAATGAGTGATGAAATGCCGTAACGTTTAATAGCCGGTTGGTGTTCATGTAGACGAAGGCGAAGAGGGCGACCACTTTGTTCAATGTAGTGTTGACTACAGTTATTGCAGCTGATTTTGTAAATGATATTCGGTTTGTCTTCCTTGGTTGTCGCATCCCCTGGTCTGCATAATAGTGTTTGCAGGGAATTTGTTGGTTCATGAGCCACACCAATTCCAAGTGGTTTCAGCAATCTTGTCGTGATTTCTGATATATTCTCTACGTATGGTAGGACGATGCGTTTATTGATTTCTGTCGATGACTTTGTAGTTGATGATGTACGGGGTGGACATCTTCTGATAAGGTTTCGTGGGCAGCCGTTCTTCTTTAGGATGGACACCAGGCAATTTTCTTTTCTCCGTGAAGTTGTTGTACCGCAGCGTGTTCTCGCTCTTCTGAATAGAGTCTGCACGCGACTCATCTCGTGGGTTGTTGCTACTGTAGTTGAGGACTTGGTCAGTGTGTGTTGGCTTCCTGTACACTTGGGTTTCCGGCTTCCCCGTATTTGTTCTATTGACCAGAGCATCCAGGGATGGTGGTTGGTTGTTTGACTTTTTCTCCATTGTGAATTTGATGTCGCTGAAAACGTTGTTGATCAAATTGTGGGTGTTTTCTATACCATTTTTAATGATGACAAGAGTGTCGTCTACATGGCGAATCCAGAATTCTGGTTTGATCACAAGTAGGATGATGGCTTCCAGTCTCTGCATCACCGTCTCTGCAATTAGTCCGGATATCGATGATCCCACTGGAGTTCCTTTCATCTGTTTGCATATCTTGCTGTTGAATTGGAAGTATGTTGTCAGACAAAGGTCGATGAGTTCCATCAGACTTGGACATTTAAGTTTTATGCGTTCTGTAAGGCTTGTGTCTTTATTGAGCAGAAGGGACATAGTTTCCTCGGCCAATAGGGGTTCGATAGATGTGTATAGTGCTGTGATATCGAATGATACCATCAATTCGTCGTCTTCTACGTTACTTTTTTTATCTCTTCTAGGAATTGCGTTGATGATTTGATGGAATGTCCGCATGATTGAGCGAGGTGTTTCAGTTTTCTCGAAAGTTCTCTTGATGTGTTGTATGCTGGAGTTCCTGGAAGTGAGACAGTCGGTCGTAGAGGGATGTCTGGTTTGCGTATTTTTGGTCTGCCGTAGAACCGAGGAAGGGCAGGCCCATTCGATTTCATCCTCCATTTGTCTTGCTTTGTTATTTCTTCTGCTTTGAAGAGTTTGTTGAAGGTTTTATTGATCTGGTTGTCGAACTTCCGGATAGGATTAGTTTCAAGCAGTTGACACGCGTTTTCGTCCTTCAGTAATTCCTTTGCTTTCCTGATGTGGTCTTCTTTGCCCATGACTATCGTAGTGCGTCCTTTGTCTGCTAGAAGAACTTCTTCGAAAGGGATTGAATTACAACACAAGAGATGCAACGAAACCAGAATTCTTCGCGGCATTAGAGTTGTCACTTAAAACATCAGGATTAAATGAGGTCACTGAACAAGAAATACGGCAAGCAATCGTACCACTGACCAGGCTAATGAAACGTCACGCTCAAATGAACACTCAAGAACAGAAAACATTGAAAAGGTTGAAAAATAGGAATGACATCGTCGTACTTCCAGCAGACAAAGGACGCACTACGATAGTCATGGGCAAAGAAGACCACATCAGGAAAGCAAAGGAATTACTGAAGGACGAAAACGCGTGTCAACTGCTTGAAACTAATCCTATCCGGAAGTTCGACAACCAGATCAATAAAACCTTCAACAAACTCTTCAAAGCAGAAGAAATAACAAAGCAAGACAAATGGAGGATGAAATCGAATGGGCCTGCCCTTCCTCGGTTCTACGGCAGACCAAAAATACGCAAACCAGACATCCCTCTACGACCGACTGTCTCACTTCCAGGAACTCCAGCATACAACACATCAAGAGAACTTTCGAGAAAACTGAAACACCTCGCTCAATCATGCGGACATTCCATCAAATCATCAACGCAATTCCTAGAAGAGATAAAAAAAGTAACGTAGAAGACGACGAATTGATGGTATCATTCGATATCACAGCACTATACACATCTATCGAACCCCTATTGGCCGAGGAAACTATGTCCCTTCTGCTCAATAAAGACACAAGCCTTACAGAACGCATAAAACTTAAATGTCCAAGTCTGATGGAACTCATCGACCTTTGTCTGACAACATACTTCCAATTCAACAGCAAGATATGCAAACAGATGAAAGGAACTCCAGTGGGATCATCGATATCCGGACTAATT